CAAAAATCACCTTACTTTTTCTCTGTAGGTCATTTTAATTTTCTACTTTAAGTAGCATTGTAAAGTACTTTATTTTTATTTAATAGATAAATAATTGTTTTTAAAAATCTCCGTTTTCTCTCTAGGTCATTTTCATGTTCTGTTTTAGCTGGTGAATATATTCCCATAGGCTAGAGGGTGGCAAATTGCAGTTCACCCAAGCAGCAGGAACTCCCCCTGTACCGCCGGTGGCTGTCCTCACAGACGTGGTTTTCTCTGAAGGTTCTCGTCCCCAGTGGGGACCTTGCACAGAAGGCCAGGCTCCTGTCCTGGGTGTCACCATCACAGCCAGCAGGCCCAGGCCTCTCTTAGAGCTCCACTGTGCTCAACCCCTCCACTCCCCGGGAAGCAGGATGTGGCTTCCGGGACTGCACACACTCAGTCCAAAGGAGCAGCTGCAGAGTACCTCGAGCCGGGCCTCACCGGGCTGTCTGATTCCAGGCACCCTCTGTCTATCTGTCCCTGCCAGCCACTTCTGCACACAGCCAGCCTTCATCATCCGTGTCCCATGCTCACCGACACCCCCCTTCCCAGACATGCAGGAGGTGAAGCCTGGCTCAGCAGCCTATGCATCCTCCTGCCTCTTCCTCCTCTCTCATTAGAGCAGGAAATCAAGGGACGGGCAGGGAGCAGAGGAGAGGGACAGTGGTTCCAGGTATAGCCAGCCCCGCCCTCAGAGTGTGCTGCCCCTGTAGGCAGCCCACACATTACGCCAACTGTGCTGCAGAGCTCAGGGGAGGAGACCCCCCAGGAGTACAGTGTGACTGGCCACATCACTGGGACAAAATATCTGACACAAAGGACTTCAAGGAGGGGAGCTGTAATTTGGCTCACAGTTCGGGGAATTTAGTCCATGGCTGGCCAGGCCCGAGGCAGAAGCTGCATGGTGCAAGGGCACGGCAGCAGACAACTGCTCATGGCATGGGAGACAGGAAGCAGAGATAGAAAGGAAGAGCCAGAAACAGGGACCACTCCTACAGGTTACCCCAGGGTTAGCCTCTTCCCACCGGGCCTGCCTCCTACCAGCTCTGAATGCAGCCCTGGATGAAGCCACAGATAAGCACAGCCCCCCCAAAGGCCCATCACCTTCTGCACATGAGAGTCAGGACGGCGCTTTAGGTCTAAACCATGACAGGAAGGGTGCAAGCTGGACTTCCAGGGAGGAGCAGGACACCACTGCATGTCAGAAACTGAGGGCTTCTCCGGGCGGAGCAATTGCAGGTGGAGTGCGAACACCAGCTTCACACCAGGAGCTTTTCTGTGCATTGGTAAAAATCACACTTAAACCATATGACAGGACCGTTTCTGCAGGGGGAACAATAGTGTGACCTCATATGGTCTAGCTCATACGGACGGTGACCATAACTGAGTTTATCTGATGTATCAGTGTCTGTGACAGCACCCTACCATGTGGCATCATTTAATCCTTCCCAGAATGACCCACAGAGGTAAGTGTTGAGTCCCAGACAGGCTTCATGACTTGGCCAGGCCACAGGTCTCAGGACGCTGAGGCAAGATGGGAACCAGCCTGGGTAGCTCCTGAGTTCTCACTGTCGTCTGCACCCCACCCCTCCAAGTCTGCCGCTGGATCCAGGGATGGGGCCACAGGATTAAGTGGATCAGGCTTACAAAGTGGGGTTTCAAAAACTAGAGAGAATGTTTAAATTTTATATATATATATATATATATATATAGTCATGAGTCCCCTTCAAAAGCCACCCCGCATAGAAACACACTTCTCCCAGCCTCTGGCCACTTTCCACAGCAGCTCTGGGGTCCTCTTTTGTGAGTATCTAGCTGGGCTGTGGTGGCTGCCTTGGTTTCCTGAACTGGTTCACATTTGCTTTGCACGGTCACCTTGACCTTGGGGAAGGGACAGAAGCCTTGGAAGAGGACACCGCGTGACGCTGTGAGCTGCCTTTCCTCGGACGGCTCCGGGCAGCAGCACACACAATCACACCATGAAGACAGGAGAGAGGATCCCAGAGCTGCTCTGGGAAGGGTGAGGACGCTGGGATCAGCATGTTCAAAGCCAAGGAGGGGACGCTGAGGGGGCAGTGGCAGGGAGCCCTCGCTGTCGTAGCTTTAAGACTGAAATGCACACCAAATTTCTGGCTCAGCCCTGGTATATTAAAGAGGGCTAAGCAGTCTCCACTGGCTGGTGGCTTCCCCACCTGGTCAGGACACTGGGCGTCTTCCTGGCCCGTCCTGCTTCTTTCTTCTCTCAGTTCAACCACACAAGGCCATGACTGACTTGTGTGCCCTTCCAGACCCCGTGACCTCCTCTGTCTCTGGTCTCTGGTGCCCTGGCCTGGTTCCCAAATGCAGTTCCCCAGGAGGCCCTTCCCAAAGCCAGCCCCACAGGCACTCACCCCGAATCTGCTTCCACTCCCAGGGGCCTGAGACACTGGACAAGACCAAGCCTGAAGCCACACATACAACCAGACAAGGTGCCTGTGGCCTTGCAGAGAAACAGCCCAGCCTCCCTGCCCTAGTTATTCACCCGACACGGACTCAGAGGCCTCTGAAGGGCCGTGAGCTGGGCAAACACAGGGACCAAACATTTCAGCCTCCTGCCCCAAGACACACAAACTTCTGTAGACCAGAGGTGACCTCCAACCCTCAGAGGCTCCCCCAGGGGCTGTTGACATTGTGGAGTTGATGCTGAAGGACCCTGGGATCGGGCACTGAGCTGTACCTCAATGTCACTGCTCACTGCCCCCTGCTCCCCGTCCCCAAAGTTCTGCCATAGATTTCTTCCCAGGTCAGTGAAAGCAGGCATCTGCGGTCCCTGTTCCAGCACAGGGCTGCAGGTTGGAACTTGGGGAGAAAGGAAGGACTGGGCCTGCATAATGGGCAGAGCACCAGTGCTGAGACCACCAGCCAGGTCGGGGCCCCAGCTCTGTCATGCAGAACCATGTGACCCGGGACACAATTCTATCCCCTCTACTCCATCCTCCTGCCAATGTCCCTGGTACCCCGTGAGTGCACATTCCAGACCAGCTTTGCCCACGGTCCCTGCTGCCTGCTTGAGCTCACAGAGGCGAAAGTCAAAGTCCCAGGAGGGGACTGCAAAGTTTCCAATACTGAGCATGTTGGCAAGAATTCAGCACCAAGTCTGCCAGGCAGGGCAAAAGAGTTCGGCGCGGTCACCATAGCTCTGGCTTTTTAAGGTTTTCTGTTTTTTGTTTTTTTTTAATCCGCTACCTGTGCCAGCACCATAACCAACACTTTATAAGCACAAGTTTACTCAAGGTCCCAACAACCCCAAGAGGCACTGTCTTCACGTTTTAGATTAAAAATTAATGTAATCATGGAGATGAGAAAGAAGCCACTGGAATAAGAGATGGAAAAGGTAACGGAACATTGAACTAAATCAGTGATCAGTCTCCCCAGAGCAATGGCTGCTTCTCCTCCCAGCACACAGAGCTCAGATTTTTATTTTCGTAATGGCAGCAGGCGCTGTTGGCCCCAAATAGACAGGGACGGAGAGTTACACGCAGACAGAGAGGGTGGTTAATAAGGCGCAGGGCAGGGGCTGGAACTCGGGTCTGCTCGCCCAAAGCCCCTCAGTTAGGGACGTTGTGTCTGGGAGCCAGTGCAGTGCTTGCTGCTGCCTAATTAGGGACTCAGCCCGCAGTAAGCACAAAAATAAAATCTAAGAAAAATAGAGAGCCACCACACAAGCTGTGAGTCCAAAGCAGAAAGCAAGAGAGAAGCCACAGGAAGACAGCAGAGCATGTGGACACGGTCCTCACTGAGGGAGTGGGGAGCCTTCGTGAGGGGGAAGAGGACTCGGGAACTCCTGGGCTCTCCTCCTCGGGAGCAGGAGGAGGCGGGTGTGGGGCAGAGCTCCTCAGGGCCAGGACCCATCTTTGCTCCAGCCCTACTGTGAGAGACAACTTCCAGCCGGCTGCCACAGCAAAAGGAAGTCCACTCTGCAGGGAGTGACTGTAGGCAAACCCCAGATCAGGCCTCCAGGTTTCCATTCGTGATGTCTGGCACTCAAGGGAAAGTAGCAAGACACACGGCACACAACGTGACCAAAAACAAAACAACTAACTAACAGAAGGCAGGCATGAGAAGCCGGGCGGGCACGGAGTGGTGGTCAGGGTCTACTTCTTGACCCGGTGGTAGTTTTCTTGGGGTTGTGACACTTGGATAATTGGATGAATTACACTCTTTGCACACATGCTGTGCTTCCAATAGAAAAGAAAGGTAGGACATTAGTTGACAGGGACCCTCTCACCTTGAGAGACTCCGGTTGGGCCATCAGTGCCGGCCACTCAGCTTCAGGGATAGGCCAGGACCCTGGGGCCATGGGCTCTGGAGGACAGTGTCCGTTCTGCAATCTGGTGGATATTCCTGAGCTGGACTAGGATATTCCTAATGATGCTTCTACCCAGGTCTCTACTTTTAAAATCAAAGAATCTCAAGCCTTTAGTAGCCTTTTCCTTCTCTTGCTGCCCCAGCTATCCCCAGCTATCCCCAGCCTATGACGGCCTTCGCGTGCCTTTGAGCTCTTCAAGGGCCACGCCCCACGGTGAACCCGCCATGGTCCGGAGCTTTCTAGAACACTGCTTGCCTCAGCTTCCCCTGCAACTCCCTCGGTGCCCGAGCCACCACCTCTGCCCCTGCTGTATCCTTGTACCCCCACAATCTCTGGTGGTGGGGTGCACAGCAGCCTCCACAGAGCTTTCCTGTATATAGAAATATTTATGGGGAAGAAAAAGCCCAGTATTCACAAGGGAACCCCAGGACTGCGGCGCGTGGGCCTCTCCATCTTTCCCAGGGGTGCCCTGATGCTGCCCGACAAGATAACAGGGCGAGGGAGAAGTGGGCCTGGTTGCCTTCGTCTGTCCCACCCTGGTGGAGGGCGGGTCCACCGGCCTGCCCAGTCCACTGTCCTGTGGTCCAGGCTTTGCTGAACGCATGCTCTGCTCATGGAAAACAGCACTGACCTCTTCCTGTGGCCGCATCCTCGAAGTCCACGTCCAGGCAGCAGCTGGTCTGGAAGAAAAGACACCAGCAGTCACTCTGTGTGCCTGGGACCCCCCAAGGGGCGAAGCTGGGCCAAAGCGAGGCCTGGACACCACCCTGCACCCCCTGTCCCCCAGGCCAATGAGCTCTGCCTGCAAGGGAAGCTTCGGCCGCCCCGGCCACCATGTTCCAAGAGGCTGGACTCAGCCAGCTTCGGCCTCGGGACAGGGCAGCCAGGAAACAATTCCATGTCCGTTACTCAGATCCAATCTCCAGCCCGAGCCTGGAGCCAGTGTGTTTTAGGAGCTGTTGTGCTGCAAGCAGGAAGCAATCACCATGCAAATTCAACAATAAAAAGAAATTTAAAAAATAAAATGAGGGCACGCAGTGTCCCTGTGCCACCCAACGGCTGGTTCACTGCCTGGGGATGCCGGGACATGATCTTGAGTCTCCTCACAGACCTGCAGCAGCAGACAGACTGCCACAGACACTCTGAGGATTCCCACCCAGCCCCAAAGCCACCAGAGTCCCTGCCAGCCCCTCAAGGCAGGTTGGGTGGATTCCAGCCACAGCATGGATCCTGCAACCTCTTGGGCATTTGTGGTAGGGTGAGTCCTCTGCCCCTGGCCCTGTGACATCTCCTGATCTTCTCTCTGCACTTTCATGGGTGCCCTCATGGTGTTGGGCACCCATTCCCTGTGCCAAGAAGCCCCTGCTTGCTCACTTTCTCAGAGAACTTCTATGCAAATGCCAAGACCTAATCCAAAATGGCCCACTTCCTATGAAGTCTTCACCAGCTATTCCTGGCAGAGTTCAGCCACCTGCCTCCCACACGGCTCCTCCATGCTGCTCTGTCACAGGGTTCTGTTGCTCTGGGGTCTCTAAAACAGACTGACTCAGGCAGCGGCTGACACCTGGGGTGTGGATTAGGTTCAGTGCCCTCTGATAGGAGCCCAGCTGCAAAGCTGCTTCCATGAGTCCTGGGCACCTGCCTGGGGCCTGCTCTTTGCTGTGCTCTCAGTGCTGATAGCCCTGGCTCACAGTAGTTTGGTTTGTGGCTGTCCAGGTAACAATGGTTGGACAGCAGTGTGAATTCAATAGGACCCCGTGTGAGTGTAACCCGCCTGGCCACAGGTGAGAGATGCTGGCTCCTGAGGCCTGATGCCACCATGTGCCCCAGTCACTGTGCCTCAAGGGAAAACGACAAAGAGAGCCCTGTGAGGCCGATGGCCAGGACTGGCAGGGAAGGCGTGTGGAGCACTTTGCAGCAGAGGGCCCTTGCCCCTGGTAGCGGGCACCAGGGGAGACCCGCTGCGGCTTCTCTGCTGACACCTGCTCCCACGAGCAGTGGGTTTCAGGACTAGGATCTTGCACACCCTCCGGCCTTTGCACATGCTGGTCTCAGCCTTCAGGGCCTTTGCTTCCGCCTTCCACCCCAAAGGCCCCTTTGGTCCTCCAGGCCGATGAGGTGCATCTGCTGCACCAGGAGGTACCTGCTCCAATCTGCTCCACTCTCCGATGGCCCCTGGGCTGACGGCAGGCCCTCCCAGCAGGAGATTCTTTGGAAAGATGTTAAAGCCTCCCTGGGCTTCACATCCACGGAGAAGCCTCAAAGCACTACTGACTTCAGGGCAGCTCTGTCCTCAGTAGACACAGGGATCCCAGTCTCCGCCCTGGTCTGCATCGATCCTGTCACCCGGGAGGCTGGTGGCCAAGCATCTGCAGGCCAAGCATTCTGCTGCTTCCGGTTCCATGACTGGGTCTGAACCCTGCTTCTCTCTGCTCCCCCTGCTGCTGGTGTGTACCCAGCGTGAACCCGGGGGACGCATTCCAAACGTCACACACAGCAGGAGCTGATGAGAAAACCAAGATCCGACCCCCAGCAGTCTAGGCTTGGGCCCAGCTGAGGTGGGTTAGGGGAGACAGCCTGTCCCCACGGGGCCCAGGCCACCCAAGGTGGGGCTGGGACAATGTGGGCACCTGGGGTGTACACCCCCCAGGGGGGCTCTGCCCTCTCCAGTCGGGGCTTGGGGCCCATGATGGCCCCTGTCTGTTCTGCACCCCGAAGCATCTCCCCAGCTGCCAGCTTCCCCTCTGCTCTCAGCCAGCGCCCAGGGTGGCTGTCAGGATGGCCACCTGCAGTCCCTGAGGTGGCAGCTTCTGCCCACAATGGGAGTGCTCTGGACCTGCTCTCCATCTCATTGCTGCTGGTGTGGGGAGCATTGTCCCACACCCAGCATCCGCTGGGCTGTCCAAGCAGAGGGGACAGCCCGATCCAGGACCTCTAGCACCCCATCTCCCCATAACCGCACCAGCAGCCAGGTGACTAAGGCAGTGGGAGGGAGGTGCCTGCAGTGGCTGTGGGTGCAGCCTCCGCCCCCCAGGCCTCGCCCTCAGCGGCCTTGGGCTCTTGGGTCCCTACCCATCTTGCTCCTTCTGTATTTCACACACTGCCTAGCAGGGCCTGGCAGGGCTGGCCGCCTGCCTTCCCCCAGCTCCACCCGGGACCCCTGCTGCCATTTTCTGCATGGCCAGGTACAGGCCCACTCACGGCCCGGAGCTCAGGGGCTGGCCAGGTTGTCTCTCCGCCTGCAGAAGGTGCCACACCTCTGCCTGGCAGCTCGGACCACCCCCACCGTACAGATGAGAACCCGGGGCTCCAGAAACCAGGGTCTCGCCCAGGACACACACATGCAAGTCACCCCCGTGTGGGCCCCTGGTGTCTCCTTCATGACCCATAGTACAAGGAGCCAATGTGACCTCACATAGCCCCTCCCTGCCCCACACCTCAGCCCCAGGCCCGGCTCCGGCTCTGGTCAGCAGGAGATCACTGGCTAGATTGGCAGGAGGCAGCAGAACCGGGGAAAGGAGCCGAGGTGTCCCATGGCAGGACAGGGACCCAGCAGCCCAAAGTGACTGCTGGGCTGGGGCATGCACGGAGCTCAGACGGAGCCTGAGCTGGAAGCAGCTGCATGTAAGGAGCACACAGATGGGCGTCTGGGACGGGCTATCGAGGACACAGCTGGCTGTGTGGCCTCAGAAGGTCACACCTGAAGTCAAGAGGAGGTGTCTGGGCCGCAGAACATCCTTTCAGAAAACAGCAGTGCTTTGGACCCAGACACCCAGGCCCCCTCTCATGACCCGTCCTAAGGAACGAATGAATTAATGAGCTTGATGCCCCAGGCTCTGAGAGGACAGTCGGTTGCTGCCTTATCCACGCATCCTGCCTGCAAAGCCCTGCGGCCTGTCCAGCTTTCACAGGTGACAAGTGAATGTTCCCATTCAGAGCAATCCGCTTCTGTGACTTGGGCCAACCCCATGGACACCTGGGCTGTCGCTTCTGGGCCCAGCAAGACTGGGGAGCCTCACTGCTGCGAGGCCTGTTGGTCAGACGCCTGCTGCATACGACACTTCTTGGACCTTTGCTTCAGTCCTGCCTCACTCAGCAGTTATCAGCTGGGAACTTCAGCAGGACTCGGGGTTCCTTCGTCACCCCCTCCGCCAGCCCTGAAGACCTTGGTCCCCTGGAGCAAGCCTTGGGGTCTGCGCTGTGGACCCAAGCTCTGACTGAGCTGCTGAGCTGGGCCACCAGGCAGACCTTGTGGCCTGAGGTCCCCTCCCACAGGCAGGGAGGGTGAGAAGGGGACTTAGCCCACTTGGAGCCACCCGGCACAGCCCTGAGGCAGTGGGCATGCAGCCCTGGCGGTATTTACACAGGAGCTGCGTCCGCCCGCGCACCATCAGGAGCCTGGCTCGTCTGTGGGGCGTGGCTGGCTAGTCCCCAGGAACAGAGTGGCTCGGGTGTGTGGGCAGCCCTGGCTAAGTGCTCACAGTGCCCAGCGCACTGCTGCTCAGAGCCAGACAAAGCCCAGGATCGGTAGGCGCCCTGGGCCTGGAGACCGGGTACCCTTCATGGCCAGGGGATGCTCAGGGACTCTGCTGCCAGGCAGCCCGTGTCTGCTCTTGTCTTCCCACAGGACTGGACAGGGCAGGACAGGACTGGACAGGGCAGGACAGGACTGGACAGGGCAGGACAGGACTGGACAGGGCAGCCTCCTTGCTCACAAAGTGGTTATCTCACTGCTTAGCGAACTTCTCCACTGGGCCAGGCACTGGGGAGCCAGAGGGGGCACTGGGGGCTGCTCGGCCCCCAATGTGGGCCATGTCATGCGTGTCCATGCATAATGGCACTCTGGACATGGAGCAGAAGGATAAGAGGGAGGGCCACACCAGGTGCCAAGGGAACCACCAGGGCAAAGGTTGGAGGCCCATGCGACAGTGCCAGCAGGATGGAGACACAGCACGATGCTGACACACGAAGTGTCCCCTCTAAAATGACTCATGGGTTGAAGCCTGCTCACCACGGGGCACTGCTCAGAGGTGGGGTCAGGGAAGGGACTGGGTCATGGGGTGCTCCCCTCATCGGGGACTACAGGTGACAGCACAGCCTCTGGTCTCTCTCTGCCACTGCCTCTCTCTCTCTCTCTCTCCTGCCACACTCTTCCTCTATGATGTTGCAGAAACAGCAGCACCAAGGGCCCATGGACTACACCCTCTGAAAGCCAGCACTGGACCTTTCTACTTAGAGCTGAAGTCCTGGGGCATTCGGTCCCAGCAGCAGAACACTGACCTACACGGTGATGCTTGTGGGTCGGTGAATTCCAGTCACCGTGTCATCCCCTGTGTCACCATGTCCCGAGCTCTTTAAAGGGATGCCAGGCAGAATCCCCACCTCAGCCCAGAGCATAAATGCTGCCCAGAGGCGGCGGCAGTGATGCTGCAGGTGGGATCAGTCTACAGAGGGGAGGAAGACAGTGGGCCAGGCAGGTGGACGGGGATGGACTATCCCCTTCCCCCAGGTTTTCTGGGACTGGGCCATCTGTGGGACGCACCTCAGTGACTCCAGGGATCAGGAAGGTGGCCGTGTACTCCATCAATGCCTCGTCGTGGACCATGCCCTGCACCAGCTCTGTGAGTGACGAGCTGGCCAGGCCATGTCTGCTCAGCTCCTGCAACAGGCGCATGATCAGGCGGTTCCTCTGCAGGCACTTCTGGACCAGGGACGCCAGCTTGGCCTGCAAAGGGGAGACAGAGGGTATGGGGGCCCTGGGGTGCCCAGCTGATCTGGGGACACCTTGTTCTTTTTTTTTTTTTTTTTTTTTTTTTTTTTTGTCTTTTTTGTTTTTATCGGTACCAGGGATCGAACTCACAACTGCCTGCTTGCAAGGCAGGCGCTTATGCCGCTGAGCTAAATCCCCAGCCCCGGACACCTTGTTCTTAGCTAGACTTTAGCCCAGTGTGGCCTCCTCCTCCCCCTCCCAGAAACCTGGCCCTGGCTCCCCACTGCCCTCCTCTAGGGTTCAGGCTAGGAGGCAGGGACAGGAGCAGGACATGGGTGCAGGCTCTGTCACTGCCCAGCTCTGTCCACACTTGTCCTTCTGCATAGCAGGGCTGTGGAGGACAGCAGGTGCTGTCACAAGCCAAACCCCAGGGAGCCCTGAGATGTCATTTCTCACTCCCGGTGGTAAGCACAGGAACCACTGAGGTCCCCATGTAACTCGGGGTGCATTGAATAAGGCACATAAGGCAGGGGCTAGCACCTTCCCCCAGCCTCAATCTCCAGTTTGCAGACACAAACTCCAGCTGAGGACGCAGCCCCCGGGGAGGGGAACTGGCAGTGGAGACCGTGGGGATCCAAGTTCTGATCTAAGAGCCAAAGACACTGAGGCCCTGGAGGACCAGCAAACCCAGGTGTCCATGGTCCTGCTGACACCCAGCCCACGACCCTGCCCTGCCCACCGCCCCTAGAGCAGAGAGGCAGGACAGATCCCCGGCCTGGGCCCGATCTGGCTGAAGGAAATGCGCCAGGTTAGCAAATTCTGGCCCAGGTAGCAAAGGACATGTGAGCCCCTCAGGCCAGAGGGTCCTTTTGGGGGTTCTACGCCAGGCACACATTCCAGACAGGGGCGCTCCTCTAAGGAAAACACACAGCACAGTGTCTGTGTGGAGTGGCATGCATCAGGGACACAGACACAGACAGACGGATGCAAGCCTGTGCTCAGACACCGAAACCACCAGGAGTGGTTCCAGGGACTGAGGCCGCAGGCTCTCTGGCCCCATGTGACTAAGAGTCTCCTGGTGACAGGCTCCAGGTTAGTCACCATAGAGACATGCTTTTTTCAGAGCTGGGCACTGAGCTGAAGGCCTCTGCCTGGAGCTCCCATCCACAGCATGTTTGGTGTCACCAGGCCTCTCCGGATTCCTGGGATGACAGAGACAGGTGGTGGGCCCCTGCTCCAGGGGCCAGGCCCGGCTCCAGGGACCCCTTACCTTCAGGGGACTCACGGCCAGGCGCGCTTCCCGCTGCTCCCTCCGAAGCTCTTCAAGCTGAAAGGGAAGCACCAACAGCCTGTCCCTGGGCCTGGGGCTGGCTCTCCCCAGCCTGCATTTGGGCTCCATACCCATGCAGGGTCCTCTCCAGGCCCCTGGGCAGGACCACCAAAGCTGAGCTGAGTGACCCACACCTGCCCAGGGTGCCAGCAGCATGAGTCGGCAGAGCTGCCCTGGACGCGGCCTGTGTGCCCCCCGGAGTGGGGGAACAGATAAAGCAAATGCATCACACGGTGTGGGGTACTACTGTGCCATGAAAAGGACACACATGTGTCTCCCAGAGGAAAATGGGGGCTCCTGAGATCATAATGCTACGTGAAATAAATGAGAGACATGGCTTAAATATCTCATGGCTCCTCTCACACAAGAAGCCCAAAGTATAGATAAATCAAAAGGTAGAATAAACACCAGCCGATAGGAGACGGCAAGGTGGACTTGGTAAAGAGGTGAGGAGAGGTGAGGGGGAGGGGAGAGGAGAGGAAGGCAGAAGGACCAGGCTGTGCACAGCAAACGTATGCAGATACACAGCGCCAGCGTTTTAAAGACTGAGCTCCGTGGGCCACCGGCCCCTCCTAGGTCGGTTCTGAGGGCTCTGCCTTAGGAAAGACCCCGACCCTGATTCCTTGGCATAGCTGCCAGGCTCAGGAGAGACACTCAGTGCTCCCAGGCCAGTGGCCTGCAGCCCCCCAGCTGGGGCAGGTCACGGTTTCCCCCGCCTTGGTGTTTCCATCTGGAAAGTGGGGGTGGACCCAGTGCAGCCTGGAGGCTCCCCAGTGACGATTCAGGGAGGTGAAGAGCACAGAGCAGGGCCGGCATGCAGGCAGCACTCAGTACTCTTTCATCGTGAGCCTGACTCATAACTGTATTTTTTTCTTTGTTGTAGGAACGAGGCTTCTGTGGACCATTCTGGAAGCTATTTTGGCCGGAATTCTGAACAGAGTCAGAGGCCAGGTCCACCTCAAGCAGACTTGGATTTGAAAGGCGCTGGAGGACACCCTCGGGCGGCACGGTGCCGCCTGCCAGTTTAGGGCTTCGTTCCAATTCCTCTGTGGTGAGTGAGGTCACCGCGCTCGCATGCAGCTGTCAGAAGAGGTGTGGAGAGGCTCCAGCCTGGGGTCGGAGGGATGCGGCTGTGGCAGCCAGGTGCCCTCCTCGGTCTCCACAGCACGTGGGGGCAGGCTCGCCCAAGGTCAAGATCCTGAGTGTCCTTGGCCCCAGGTCCCTCCCACTGCCCTTTACAGCCACTCGGTCTTCCCGTGCAGAGGAAGGATGTGCGGCTTTCTCTGCAACAGCCTGTCTGTGAGTTTTCCTAAATTTCAGTTCAGAGTGGGGTGGACGGCAGATCCACACCGTTTTCTGCCCCGAACTGTTCTGTGTCTTAAGCATCTGATAAACCGTCCCACGCGCAGGGCACAGGAACCTGGTGGGAAACAAGTCTTACTCCCTGCTGGGCCTCCTGTGCCATGGAGGGAAGGAGAGGGGAACCCCGCATGCCACCCCCGCCAGAGGGGAAGGAAGCACCCGCCTACCTCACCCCTGAGCGCATCCTGGAGGTGGACAGCCTGGTCCCTCGCGGCCTGCAGCTCCCGGTTTGCCCAGCCCTGGTCCCTGAGCTGGCACTGCAGAGTCTGCACCTGGTGACAGAGCCGCTGAATACACAGCCGGGGCTCTTCCTCCGCCACCTGGGCCTCGGCGTCCTGGGGGTGCAAGCAGCACAGAGAAGGGGTGGGGAATGCCCAGGTCAGCATCCCTGAACTTGTTTAGCAGACAGCCAGCACTGTGCACCTCCTCCTTCCTCTTTCTCGACCGAGTACATTTTCCTCACAGTGAAAAGAATTTAGAAAATAAGGGGCCAGGAGCCGGGTATAGCTCAGCAGCACAAGTGCCTGCCTGGCAAGTGCAAGCTCATGAGTTCGAATCTTAGTGCCGAAAAAAATAGGGAATATAAGGGGACAGACAGAGGTGATGGTGCACACCTGTCATCTCAGGAGGCTGAGGCAGGAGGGGACTGCCACAAATTCAAAGCCAGGCTGGGCTACATAGTGAGTTCAAGGCCAGCCTGGGACACATATTGAGACCCTGTCCTAAGAAAACAAAAGAAAGGGGATAAAACTCACCCTAAAGGCTACCGTCCAGCACAGCCGTGTCACGGCCCCTGTGTGTTCTACACAGCCTGTCTGCTGTACCCATGGGCACGCACATGGTTTGGGGCTCAGCTCTGATGTCTGAGGGGTCCCCAGGGCCTGGGAAGTCTCAGAATAATACCCTAAATGTTACTCTTCGAAACATGCAAGACGGAGTCAGACATGGCAGGGCCCGTAGGAGAGCTGCCCTCCGCACAATGGAGGATGCTGCAACCCCAACGGAACCCTGGGGCCCGATCCACGACAAGGCACCATACACTAAAACACAGCATCACCTGAGCGGCAGGGCCACGACTGCCCTAGCAGCCCTGCAGTGTAAATCCTCAAGTTTACTAACCTGCTCAGGACTGACACAGACATGTGCGCACGTGTACACACTTATTTTTTTTCTTTATTGAATCTAACACGTGACACTCATCCTCGACTTTCTCTCTGAATGCCGCAGCCCATGGCTGCCATTCTGACAGTGGGGGATGAGGGACATCCTTGTCCATGACACTGACCTCACCTCTGCACTCTCTCCTGGGACAAGCGAGGGGAGCCACCAGGAGGGTGGCATCCAGAAGGAGGGTTCCGCTGCCACTCTAAGTTTCCGTCTGGGCAAGGATGGGGAGCCTAGAAACTCACAAACGCCCTTCCCTGGCGTGCAGTCTTCCACCTGCATTCAAAGCAGCCACTGGGCATTTTAGGGCATGTTAGCTCAGGTCCCCTGCTAACCTGACCTGTGGGCGTGGTCAGAGGAGGACCCCCACCCCTCTGCTGGGAAAGACAGAGGAGACAGTAGGGTCAGAGATCTGCCTTCATCATCCCCTGCTAACAGGGACGGTGACAGCTGGGCGTGATGTATTCTTCATAACGACTCGAAATCCACTCTGTGCGGGCCTGCTGCACAGGCGGAGCCCGTCAGGAGCAGATGGGCGCCCACTCCCAGCGCCTCCATCGGGTTCAGCTCCAATGCTTCAAAACAACTTGGCCTTTCAGGAAATTTGGTGCCGAGCAGCCGCCTCCCTCCTCTGGCAGTGCCTTAGACCAGGCTTCTCCCAGGGGTCCTAGGAGGCATCCACAGGGTCATCTGGAGAGGACAGCAGTGGGGCAGGGCCTGCTGTCATCTGGGACTGTCCACACGCTGCCACCGAGAAGCTCCGGCAGGTGGGGAGAGCGACAGAGACTCAGGAGACTGCACGGCGAGGTGTGGGGAGGAGGGGCTGAGCCACGGCCCCATCCGTGCCAAGGGGCAAATGCTGCGGTTCCTGCCTGGGGGCCACGCCACTGTGTGGCACTTGCCCATTCTCGTGGTGTAAAAGCCCCACCACAACCAACTGCAAACCATCTAAATGACACCAGTGGACCCAGCTCTGGGAGGAGACGCGTGTGAGTCAACCCCAATGCCCCTATCCTGAGCCCCCAACATGAGACCTGAGGATGGGCAGTGATTCCCAGAAGAAACTGGATCACAAAGAGGGGCAGGGAAGGTGCTGAGAAGCGGCAACCTGGAGTCTGGAAGACCGGGTGTGGTGGGTAGCTGAGGTTTGTGGACTCTGGGCCTGGGCTATCACCAATCTTGAGAATCTGGGTTTTACACCCAACGCAGCAGAGAGCTGCAGAATGTTTCAAGAGCAGGGATTCTACCTCCTGCCACTGACTCCAAGTTCCCAGCTCCAGGACACTCTGGGCTGTGAGACCCAGCCTGATCCTCCCCCTCCCTTCAGTCCACCTAGCTCCTCCTCCTTACAGCGGGCAGTGGTCTGTTAACAGCAAGCATTGGGCTGTGTTGTTTTCCTGCTCCAGATCATGGGGACTATAGAAGGGGTCAAAGGAGGCCACAGAGCCTGCTGTGACCCCAGTCATCACAGCTTCAGCTTCATCTCCTGCCAGCTGCTCCGGCCTCCTGAGTCACAGGACACCAGCCACCTTCGGTCTTCCAGCAAGTCCAGCCCTTCAGAGTCTGGTCATTTGCCCTGAAATGCTCTTCCTCAATGTTTCTTTCCAGGCTTGAAAGTCCGAGCCCCACAGTCCTCCGAGCTCCAGTTCCTGCTAGGCCAAAAGAGCCAGCATTGGAAAACTCTACACTCTGGGGAGAACACACAAATGTAATTCTGGGAGCACTGGAAGGCAACCAAGGCAGAGCTACATCCTCAAGCAAGAGGGAGCACAAAAAGGCAAGTTCCCTGGATTTCTCTCTGAAATATTTTACAACCCATGGTTCAGTAAAATTCTCCATGGGAGGGGTGTTGCAGCTGGGTGGAGGGGAGAGAGGGAGCCCAGGGACGAAAAGAAGCTGGGGTTTGTGGGACTGAGAGGAGACAGCTGCTGAGGAAACACCCAAAATGCTGTCTTGCAAATGTTCCTGGGATCCTCAGCAGGATCATAAGCTGCGTGGCATGGTGGAGAACTCCACACTGTGCACAGCACAGCAGCTGGACGCTCATTACGCAAGATCCCTGAGGTCACATGGCTCTGAGAAGGTGGCATCGGTCTGGCTGAACCAAGATGAAGTGGCCTTGGTGAATATGCTGGGAATTCAGTCAATATCTTCAAAAGCCGATGCCCAGGGGTGAGGGCCATACTGTGGGAGCCACAGCAAGCCCAAAGGCTGAAATGGTCTTGCATATGAATGAGATGAACTGCTAACCATTCAACTACCTGTCAATCATTCAACCACCTGCCAATCATTCAACTACCTGTCAATCATTCAACCACCCACCAGAATGAAACCCAGTCAGCATTCCCTGGAGGTAGATGGAAATCAGGGGTCTCCACAGCGTATGTAAGTCCTGTGTCAAAAATTCTTTTAATTCCTGGACATGTGATGGAGCAAGAAAATGTGGGTGTCATCAAAAAGAAAACCACAAAGAGAAGCAGGCAAGGAGATGATCTAGGCATCACCAATAACAGGTAAGGTCTGCAAAAGAACTTTCTTGTGTATGTTTATACACATGAAAAGACAAGTAAATGGAGAAGATGAAGTATGTCAACAGAAAACTGAAATTTATTTTCTAAGAAAAGAGTAAAATGCATATTCTAGACCCACAAAATATAATTACTAAAATTAGGAACTCATTGAATGGATTTAACAAAAGGCAGGTGCAGTGGAAGACATGCTTAGTGGATAAAAGAAAGGTCAGTAGAAAATACAAACTGAAATAAAGAGAAAAAAGGACAATGTGGTTTTCAAAAGATGTGGGATTCAGTCAAAAAATCTGGATTTCTTGGAGGAAAGACAGCAAAATGAGGCAGGATAAAATATCTGAAGAAATAACCAAGAGTTTTTCAAGTCTGACAAGACATAAATATATGACTTCAAGCAGCTCAGAAAATCCAAGAAGGATAAACACAAATAAAACCATCCCAAAGGCACATCAGATTCAAGCTATCAAAACCCAGAGAAAAGGGAGTTCTTCAGTGCAAGACATTTCTCTCAGGGAGAAAGACAGTTATGACTGATTCCTAAGCCAAAACTATGGGAGGCAGAAGGCGATGGAACAAGTGTACAGAGACAGGGAAACACCTGCTTATCCAAATTCTGAATCAGGGGAAGAGACTTGTAATAGGATGACAGACAGCTGCTTTCATGAAAAGTAACATGAAGCAGCCAATCAGCAGTGAGTCTCAGTATAACACACACCAGTGATCTTACAGCAGAAAGAAAAAGAACCCAGCCCAAGAGCTACAGTAGTAAGGCAGTAACCATGTTTTGTAAGACTGAGCACACACAGGTACAATCCACAAGGCAAACATAAAAAAAAGAGAGAGAGCAAATAAGTAGAGTTAAACCATTAAAAGACTTCTGCATGGTTTGGGACATGAAAAAACACTAATTCAAGATAACTAAATGGATAAATTTTGGGATTTCTAGGGTAGTCACTGAAAGAATGGAACTAAAATATATAACACAGTGTATTACTGAAAAAGAAAATAGTTATTAAAAAACTATATATGACTAATACCAAAAACAAGAATAGGAAAGGAAGAATAAAAGAAAGTAGAATAGATAAAACAACTTAAAATAGCAAATAAGTAATATTCTAACACAGGTGTGTAAAATAATACACCTGAAAGAAGAAATGTCCACAAATGCACACTCAGAGCTGGTGATTTCACAATGCACCTCAGTACAGACAAACAGACAACACAGCAGTGAGAATATGAAGATCAGGTCAGCACCCCTGGCCATCGGGGTGTTCTAACACCCACTAGTCACAGAAGGCCATTGTTTACGAAGATGCTGTGGGTTATTCATCAAGATAAACCATTACCTGGTCAATAAAATAACTCTTGCATTTTCTGACAATGAGGTCAAACTAAAACTCAATAGTAAAAATCATACAAATCCCCCAGAGGCTTCAAAATTAAGAAACATTCTTAAATCACCCAGAGGTTGAAGGGGAAATCACAAAGAAGTGGAATGAGAAGCCATGGCAGTTTGCCCCAAATGCAGAGCCTCTCGTGTGTGGGGTGCCTGGAGGAAATCAGAGCTTTAAATGCACAGATTTCAAAAGAAGAAGTTGGAAACCAATGACCTAAGCTTTCAACACAAGAAGAAAAGAAAAAAAGAGAGAGAAGAGAAAAAACAATGGAGCTATAAAAAGAAGCCCACTGAAATGAAATACAGACAAATAAGAAAATCAATAGAACCAAAAGCCGCTGCTTGTCAAAGGGATGATAAAGGGGGAGAGGAAGAGAAGAGACTGAGAGACCAATGGGGAGGCAGAGGAGGTGGAGAGAGAGGGAGAGACACAGTCAGAGACTGAGAGCGGCTGACTGACCCCAGGACCAGTGGGCCCACAAGAACACCTCGTGCACATGGCCCTGGGGCTACTGGATGCGCACTGTTACAGCCAGAAAAGTGACTCTGAGATTTGATTGTGTCTGGGCCCGCTGCTCTGTCTACTGCACCTTCAGGACCAGTATGCAAAGTGAGGACCCGCACTCTTGGGACACTCCCAGATCGGGAAATCCTGGGTCCGACCCTGAAGCAGAAGTGACCCCCTGCACACTGCTCGGGACCCACCTGGAGGCAGATCTCAGCCAGGCTGCCTGGTGAGGCCCCACTCACCTCTCCCTACTGTGTGACCCCAGGGACCCCCTTTGCCTCTCTGTGCCGTGTTTCCTCCCGTACCTGGGGGTGCAGAAGGCACCTCTCTCCTGGCTCCCCAGGGCTGCGGAGTGGACCCTGGGACAGACCTCACCCTGCAGGAAGTAGTGAGTGACTCACCTGGAGGCCACTGCCGGGGGGCCTCAGAGCTTGTGCCCAGTCCACGGAACACCAGCGTCCTTTCTCCTCTCTTCCCAAATGTGCCTCTCCTGCTGCTGCTCTACCCGTGCTTCCTTGCTGGGTGCTGGGTCCTTCTGCATGTTCCCAGGGTGACGATGGACTGGGAGACCCAGCACCACATGCAGAGTCGTGCCCTGTCCCCACTCCGCACACACCCTCCTCCTCCTCCAAGGGTGGGCCTGGGACTCTTGTCATCAGTCTCCCCGAGGCTCCAATCACCTGAACTTCTTTGTCTAAAGCGTGCACCTTGTCCCCCATCCTCGTGGCGTTTCCCTGGGGGTGCTGCCCGTTGTGCACCAAGACCCCCATGTCGCTGCTCATCTGTTCCAGCCCTCGGACCCTGCATAGAAGATACTCGTTCTCTCCCTTCAAGGCCTGGAGCATGTCCCTTACGGCCAGCTCCACGTCCCTTATCAACTCCTGATACCTGAGCCCAAGCTGCGGTATCAGAGCCTTGAGCTCCTTGTTCTCCAGGCTGATGCAGTCTATCACGCCTCGGGGCTTCCTCCTGCGTGCAGACCTGGCTTCCCGCAGCTGCCCCAGGTCCCCCTCCAGTCTCTCATTCTCATCCTCAAGCTGCACGATCTTGTGGTAACTCTCACGGTTGCAGCGCTCCAGGTCGGAGATGGCCTGCAGATAGGAGCCCCGCTCACCCCGTAGGTGCGCCAAGTCTGCCGCCAGCTCACGGTTGGCCTGCTCCAGCCTGCGGATCTCGCGGGCGTCTCTTGCCCTGGCTTCCTCGAGGTCACACACTTGACGATGGCACCTGTCCCGGTCACTCTGAAGTATGGCGTTGTCACTTAAGACCTGCCTCCTTTCTTTTTTAAATGTGGAAAGGAGCTGATAAAAGCTGTCTCTCACCCTCTCCAGGGTCCTCCACTGCCCTGCAGGGTCTGGGCTGGCTGCACTGCAGTCAGGCGCGGTCACTGGAACCGCTGTGCCGGGACACAAGGGCTCAGTCTCCTGCAGTCTGATGCGTCCACTGCCCACCTTGGGCTCTGCTTCCCAGCCCTGGCTGTGACCCAGCCAGTGACAGCCGCTGCCAAGCTGCAGGGCATGCAGCTGCTGGAAGCAAGCCTCCACCTCCCTCTCAAACTCATCTATTTGGAGAACGCAGCCATCTCGCCTTTTGCCTAAAGGAGAACTGGGGGCTTCACACCTGGCGGCCAGCACAGCCAGGCTAGCAGGCTGCAGCAGACTGCGCTCTCCTGCACAGGAGAGCATTTCCTGGCCCATGAGTGCCTGGGAGTCTGGCTGCCCAGGGACAGGGCTGTTGCCCAGACTGGACGCATCTCCAGGTGGAAGCTTCCCCTCTTCCTCTGCTCCCTCCTGTTCCCCTTCCTCCTGCAGGGCCAGGGTGCTCCCAAGGTGCCACTTCCGGTCCTTCCCATCCTGCAGTATCCAGGGGTCTCTGTCTCGCCCCACAGGGAACTGTAATGCTCCAATCCCATGAGTCCTGGAGCCTGTGGCTGGGGGTGCTGTGTTCTCTCTGGCAGATGACAGCCCTTCCAGGAAGCCTGAGCCACACCCTTCCCCCCTCCTGCTCCTGCTCAGAGGCTGGGGACCCTCCAGCGCCCCTCCTCGGAGAAGCAGGACTGGACACTCCTGCCGGAGCCACAGGCTGCAGGCAGGGGCTGGGGTCTCTGGAGCCTCATGGTCATCCTGTCCACCCTCAGAGGCTCGGGCCACAGTCCCCAGGCTCAGGTCCTTGCGGTCTCCATGCCCCAGCTTCCATTTGGCCCCAGGCCCTCCCTCTACCCTAGCTGAAGCCCTCCTGACCTCTCCTTCCTCCACTGTTCCTGCTGAGGTCCCTCCTCCTTTGTTCCAAGTGTCTAGGCCACCCATGGGCCCCGCCCTCAGAAACGTGTGGTTGGAAGTACGTGCTGACTCCTGGCAGAGGTGGCTTCTTGCCTGGTGACAGTCCCAGCCAGGGTGTACAGTGGGTCTGGGGGCTGGCACGGGCCTGGTGTCCAGCTCTTCCTGGGCTTGGAGCCCTTCTGGGGGCTCCTGCAGCAGCAGTGGCAGCACGGACCCTGCGTCCCTGGATGGCCCCCAGAGAGGCAGCACGGATGCTTGCGCCAGCACACGGGGCTCCTGGATGGCTGTGAGACTCTCAGAAATCCAGGCAGGATCCAAGGGGCACAGCGAGGCTTCTGGGGATGGTCCTGGGGGGCAGCCACACACCAGGAGGAGCACCTGTCCATCTGGGCTGGGCTCTGCCAGAGAAAGCTGTGGGCGGAAGGGCAGAGCAGTGTGAAGCAGCCCCCCACAGCTGGCCGCCCCGCTCTGGTCTCACGTCTGGGGGTGCCCTGAGTGCCTCACCCCGAGGCAGTGCCTCCAGCTCTTCCCCACACAGGACGAACCTGCAGCTGCCCCCAGACCTTTGTGCCAGCTCTTTCCTCTGCACAGCACCTCCTTCCTGTCACGTGCCCACCCTTGATTCATTCCCAGCCCAGCTCAAAGGCCGCTTCTTCTACATGGCCCCAGTCACTGCGGCTCCATCTGCCACCAACCCATCTCCCCAGCCTATGCCTCCCCACCATGCCCTGTCTTCCTGTCCTTCCCTAACCCTGCTAACACGATGTCCCTGCCCCAGGGCCAGCAACCATGGGCTGCCCTCTGAAACCGTGAGCCAAACAGCCATCTCCCTTTAAGTCGCTGGTGTCAGGTGTTCAGTCTCAGCAAGAGAAAAGCTGATGACTACACTCTGCTCACACAGCAGGCCTGGTCAGCTGTAAGACAGATCCGTGCCCTGTCCTGCTCAGAACCACAGAACTACGCTGGCACTAGGGCTGCAGCAAACAGCTCAGCTCTGTTCTTCAGCAAAGGCAGACAGACGTGGAGAAAGGGAGTGACCGGGCCAAGCAAGAGGAGACCCAGAGCGGCCAGTGAGGGGCAGCGTGAGGATGGAGCCTGGCACTCTGGGTGACCCAGGGATGGGAGACCCAGCTGCCATCAGGGTCTCACCCTCCCCTCCAGGGCGGCATGAAGTCCCCATGCCACATGGCAGCCCTGTTGGGCTCCTTCCTCCCCCTGTCTCGCCAAGACTCAAGATGCCACTTTCTATGGCCCCAAACCCCCTCCAGCCACTTCTGCCTCTGCACTGTAGCACCAGCAGGGCACGCACCACGGCTTTTTTCCTCACCTGTTCACACTCAGACCCCGCACATTCTTCCGGGAACTCGCTTGTGGTCTCTGGGTCTGGCACCATGACACAGGGACCCTGTCCATCTCCAACGCAGCCACAGGTGCAGAGTCCCTCAGACAACTGGCCTGGGAGCAATGTGACACAGAGGTGCTGAGGGTTAGACCCAGAGGCCCCTGCGGCTCACATGCCCAGGATGGTGACTGGACCGAAAGGCTCTGACTTCATGGAGGATTTATCCACCAATGAACTCACTATGGCCTTGTTGGGCAGGACGGAAACAGGAAGTGGGCCCATGTGAATGGATGGGTCATGGGGTGTGACGCTGGGGACGGTGCTGGTCCCTGGCCCTTCTTCTCTGGTTCTTCCCCCCTTTTTCTTTTCTCAGCCATCAGTTGAGCAGCTTTTGACCTTGCCCATCCACCATGGTGTTTCAGTTTTACCACAGTCCTAAAGCAATGCAGCAGCTGACCATGCACTAAACCCTCTGCAACCCTGGCCAAAATAATCCTCTCCTCTCAGTTGTTTGCCTCAGGTATTTTGTCACAGGAACAGGGAACTGACTCACATGCAAGGTTAGAGAACGTCTCCTGGGACCTCACCGGAGTGGCCACCAGGGACCACCCCATCTGTGTGAGGATAAATGGCCCATCCCGACCTTGGACACACAGTGGCTCCCAAGGCAGCCTGATGGTCCCCACCCTCATCAGGTGAGGAAACTGAGATTCAGAGAGGTGGCACAACCATTGATTACCTGGCAGAAGACCCAGGCCACCATGCCACCACCTCAGGGCCCAGGAAACTTTCAGACTCACATCTCCATAGTGGGCAACCAGCACCACCACCAAGGAGGCGTGGGGATGGGTGAACAAAAGCAGTTCACTCAGACGAGACCTGAGCTGGCTGTACCTCTGCTCCCCAGAGACAGGCTGAGGGGCACATGGGTGGTCAGCCGCACTGGCAGCGCTGCACAGGACAGATAACACACAGCATGCATGGGCAGTGCGGGGCCAGCTGCAAGCGTGGCTGTGCTCAGAGACAGGAGCAGGGAGTGAGGTTTGTTATGAGAGACAGTGGTGCCAGAACCATGGTGGTACACACCTGTCATCCCAGCCAGTGCTCTGGGAAGCTGAGGCAGGAGGCTGGCAAGTTTGAGCCCAGCCTGGACAACTTAGTAACTTGGAGTCCCTGTCTCAAAATTTTTTTTAAAAAAAAGTGAAAATGGGCTAGAGGTGTGGGTCAGTGCAAAGGCCCTTGGGTAAGACATCAGGAAACACAGACTTGTTAGAAATGAGAGGCTTTTGAGCCCCAGCAGCTCCCAGACATGCTGGGCACAAGTCTCATTCCCTCATGCCTGAGTGCACCAGGTTGTCATCCCCCATCATCCTGTGGGGCGGTTCCCAGGCCAGCACCCCCAAGGCCGTGTGTGTAGCTGAGTCTTATATGCCCTCAAGGGTACCTCACACCCTGACCCCACTTTTGCCAAAAAAGTGACACTACCTCTCTGTGCCTCAGTTTCCCCCGTGTCACCAGGACGTCATGAGGACTGGGCTGACCTAGTCCTGGGGGCGCCCACCCTCCACACACTCTGGTCCCCACAAACCTGCTGAGGCCCCTGGTTCTTGCGCCTCCTCCTGCCTGCCTTGGCTCGTGCAGGGGTCCTGCTGCCTGGACAGGGGTGGGGAGTCGTCCTGTAGGCAGCCCAGGGTGGCCTGGGGGAAGCAGTTTAAGAGAGACTTCTGTGCCCACGCCACTCCTGTCCCCACAGATCTCTCCCCACCTCCGAGGTGAGGAAGCCAGGGCTCTGAGAGCACAGCCAGGCCCCACACTGGGCCCTGGGCCCGGGGGCCACCCAGGACCCTGCTCCTATTGGCACCCAGCCCTCTCACAGATGACAAGGGGCAGCACTCCTGTCCCGAGTCTGTCCCAGGCTCTGAGCTCCAGGAAGGGCAGTGTCTCCCAGCCCCACCTTCCTGCTGTCTGCTTGGGCCCTGACTGTCCTGTTCTGTCCTTCTGCCACCACCAAGGCCTGGGTGCCTGGGCATCACCTCTCCCTGCTCTGACAGTGAGCTGAGTGCTCAGGCAGGAGCTCACCAGTGGGGGGTCCATGTGGACCCTGAATTCCAACCCGCTTCTCCCCACCACTGCCGGGGTGGGGCGAGGGGCAGGTCTCCAGCACCATCCTGCCCCTGACCAGCAGCTCCTGAGGCAGGGATGGAACTCAGCTGCCATCTGCGGACAAATCCCTCTCCCTGTCCCCACCTCTGCACTGGCTCCCCACCCCCTCCCCACAGAGAAAGCCCCCGCTCGGCCCCACCTGCTCTGCTCATGTGGGAGACTCAGATCCAGGCTGAGCCCAGGGCTACCTGGAGCCAAGGACTCTGGACAAAACGCTGGCTCTTTGGGCCTCGGCTTCTCCTCTGCAGACGAGGCTTGGTGACGGGCCTCTACAGGAGCACACTTGTCACAACACAGTGATAAGCAAAGAGACTCAAGGACAAGTGCCCAGGCCCGTGGAAATGCTGGCCAGGTCCACAGCAGGACTCCCTGGCCTTCCTTGACTCCCCCAAGTTTGGTCCCCATCACCTGCACTCATGGTCTCATCCTCTTTATCTGGCAGTTTGTGCTCATCAGCCAGGGACCCCAATCCTGGCCACAGCACAGAACCTCCAGGCAGAACCCTTGACCCACACCTGTGCAAACTGGAGGACTCGGCACCAGCAGCCTCGCGTCCTTAGGGCATCTGGGACTGTCCCCAAGCTCGCAGATGTCCCTGCCTCTCCTGCCACCGTGCAGCTCCCACTTGATGGGAACCGAAGGCGCTGTCCCCAGGGCAAGAGGCGAGTGGAGGAGAAGCACCAAGGGAGGAGGAGGAGGGGCAGGCAGCAGGGTGAGCAGGGAAGGAAGGAGAGAGCAAGCTGGGGGGAGAAAGGGAGAGGTGGAAATTTAAAACTAACAAGAGAGAAGTAGGCAGGAAAAGGCAGGGACTGACTGATGGCAAAAGGAAGAGGCCAGGAGGCAGTGCTCAAGGTCACTCATCACACTCGAGAAGGGGACCTGCCACCCGCACGGATCCCAGGTCTTGCTTGGATTTGTTGCAATACCCAGCTTGGCTTCAAAGCAGTGCATCCAGCGCACACAGCACCAGTGTCAGTGGGGCCCGAGCTGGGTAGGGGACACAGCCAGGGACAAACACACACACTGCTGTGCACCTAGGAGAGGCTGTGCCAGTGACACCAGCTGCGGGGCAGCCCTCTCCATCAGCATTTCCTGAAAGCTAAGGGAAGGCCAGCGAACGAGGAATCAGGAGGCGCCCAGACACAGACACTGATGCGCTAGGACACGGCCCTGGCTTTCCCCAGGTGTAGACCTCTCCTCCCGCACAGGCACCATACAAACGCTAAGGGTACGAAGTGTACCACGTTTTCCAGAAGGATCGATCCTGACATCCCCTGCCATGCATGGTCTGAGTCACCAAGCCGCCTCCTTCTGACGGGACAGTGGGGTGGTTTCCAGACCGTGCCCACTGCCAGCTGCACGCACCCTGCTTCCTTCACACAGCTTTGTAGGCATCAGATGGCCAGGCACCAGCATTGTAAGAGATCTTCCCCTCATCCCCCAAAATGTGCCGTTTTATACTTCCAATGGCTGAGACCCTCCAAAGCAGGGAGGCCTTTAAATAGCCAAATATAGCAGCAAAAATGGAATTCTGAGCAATCTTTTTTAGGTTTTTTTTTTTTTTCAGACAAAGTTTCACTGTGTAGCCCAGGTTGGTATTGAACTCACAATGATCCTCCTGCCTCAGCCTCCCAAGTGCTGGGCACCATAATTAGCTGCTGAACAATCTATTTTTAAAAAAAAAAACTTTCACCTCATAAATGAGTACAATCAAAAATAACTTTGATTGGAAAAAAGAAAAGTCTCCCAACAATTCCGTATTATTTTAGCAAGCTTCCACCTCGAGAATCAAAAAGATGAGCAAAATAGATCCAAAACACTAAAAGGCGAGCAGAGACAAGCTGATACAGCTCGCTCTGACACTGCACCGTGGCTGTGACCTCGCGCATCGCAGGATGGATGCCTTTCTCCAAATCCCTGATCCCTAACGCACCTGAGCTTTGGAGCCCAGCTTTGGAGCCTCCCCGAAATGCAGCCACTCTTGGAGCGGCCACCAGGGGTCGCGCTACACACGCCGTTGTGGCGGTGGGGGGGGGGGCCCTCCTGGAGATGCCTCTGCCGCCCCCTAGCGGCCAGAATCGCCACTGTCCACACTTGAACCTGTGTCCCCCAAAGTTTGGGGAGACCCCGTCCTGGTCAGGTCATCTCCTGCATTCTCACTGCGCAGACACAGCACCAGGCTTGACGGAGTGGCCTTGACTGGAAGTGACTGGCAGATGCAGGAAGAGCCTTTGGATCCAGGGAAGCTGCGGGTGCACATCTTGGACACAGAGCAGAGTCTGGGGAGCCACTGAGCTGCAGGAGGCCTAGGCAGGGTCACCAGGGGCCTCCCCAAATGGCATGGTTAGGAGGGTGAACCCCCAGTGGGGAGCCAGGGGCTGTGAGAGATTTAGCAGGGCAAGCTGCTAAGAACCTGAACAGCCCCATGGACAATGCACCAGCAGCTCGGGGAAGTCACACAGGATAGGGCAGGCTCTGGACTCACTGGAAGTCACTGCCTGGGCCACTGAGGCTGCACTGCTCCCGTGCAGACAGGGCGCTCAGCGCCTGGCCGGGCACTTCCTCACCTGCAGCTCCTGCATGAGAGCGAGGCTCAGGCCACCTCCCCTGAACCCTGGTGGCCCATGGCCCTCTGCCGTTCACTGTGCCCCAAGGCCAGGCTGTCACCACCCTCCAGGAGAGCAGAGCATTGGCACCTGCAGACTGGGGTCCAGCCCCGGGGCAACACCAGGGTGCCCAGCGGGGCCCAGTCCTTTCCCCGCCCTGCCACCTTCACTGGCTGGTTAGTCATGCTGTGTATGTGTCTCAATCCTCACCCTGTCCATGTGGACCTCAGTCAGTACCAACCTGGCAGTGTTGGGCGAGGTACAAAGCCTGGCCACACCATGCTGTGGTCTCAGTGTCAGTGTCCCCAGGCTGACACACATCCAACCTAAATCTACGGGGTGATGGCATGACAGGAGTGGGGTCTCTGGGGTAACCCAGTCATGGGCAGGGAGCCCCAGTGCAATGAGGGCCCTCACGCATGCCCTGCCCTGGACACCACCATAAGCAGGAGGCACCCACACCTGTCACAAATACCCAAGGTACCAACTGGGAAAGAAGGGAGGTTTATTTTGGCTCATGGTTTTGGAGGGTCCTGTCCATGGCTCCATGGTGTTTGGCTCTGCTGCTTCGGGGCCTGTGGCAGAGCAGCCGTTGCAGCAAGACGCACAGGGAGGTGTTCCTCTTACAGTGCCCAGGAAGCAGAGGGAGCGAGGCAGGGGAGGAGCCAGGTCCCCAGGTGCCCTTCAGAGGCATACCCCAGTGACCTGACCATCCCTTCTCCCAGAGGTTCCTCACTTCCATAGTACCACGGCTGGAGACACTCAGGTCCATGGGGACACTGATTCAAATCCTGCAGGTGCCTTGATCTTGAACATCCAAGTGCAAGAAAGTTGCCAGGTCTTGGCGACTTGTACAAAGGGACTAAGAAGTGACACTTGGTATCTGTGTGACCAGGGAGGTCAGGGACCTCTCAGTGTCCTGCCCCTTGTCTGTCCAACAGGACAAAGGCCAGCAGCCATGCTTGGCACACAGCACCCTCGGTACTGTGTGGGGCTGTGCACACCCCAGGCACAGCTAGACACCGGGGCCCTGGGGTTCAACATCTTATGGGTCCTCGTGCATGCAGAGGATTCCTTCAGGGGTTGAACTGGGTCCCCATGACTCATGTCAAAATCCTGACTCCTGGCACCCAGGATATGACCTCATTTGGAAATGGGTCGTGTGGGTATGACAGTCAGGATGAGGTCACACTGGGATATAGTGGGTGTGTGATGGGGTACACGAGATCATAATGGGGTACGACGTCCTCCTGAGGTCACATGGGGTGTGAAGACAGCACAGTGGGGCCAGGACGAGGTAGGAACCGAGCATGATGAGGTAAGGAGCTCGCAGAAGGATGAGATAAGGTCACCGTGGAGTGGGACGGGAGGGGAACAGGAGGCCACGAAGGGTGAGAAGAGGTCAGAACGGGGACATGCAGTCTCGGGGGAGGGGATAGGTACAGTCCAGAGAGCTGAGGTCACGTGGGCTAGGATGAGGTCAGAGTGGAGCGAGACAGGGTGCTGGTGGGGGCCCCATTCTTATACTGCGTTTATGCTTTATTTTATATTTATCACCTCAGCCTTGGCCAGCTGATAGACCGTGCAGGTCGTGTTTTACAGGTAAACTATTGAGGCGGAAGAAGTTAGACGACTTTCAAAGCCCATAGGACCCAAAGGTCAAGGTCAGGGCTGTGGGCCCAATCGGGTCTCCCAGCCTGAGCAGGGAGCCCCGCCCTGGGGACACAAGGTCCCTGCTGGTCCCCACCTGGACAACCCTTACCCTGTGGCCTCAGCAAGCAGTTGAGGGCGGTTCCACAGCCTATGGGTGACAGCAAGGTGCAGGCCTCCTACAAAGCCCAAGGAGCAGCCACGCAGATGCCACCACCCCCAGCCCACACTCATCGGCACCCCAGCCCGGCCAGTCACACACTGCTGTCCCTGGAGGTCACACTCATCGGCACCCCAGCCCGGCCAGTCACACACCGCTGTCCCTGGAGGTCACTGGACCCTGAGTCATGGTGGGTCATAGATGAACCTGCACTGGTCTAATGCTGGAGGGCCCCTCCCAAGCACTGCATTTAAGGGAATGAATGCAGGCCCTGGGCTCAGCGGGGGGCTCGGCCCAGAAGGGTCTGAAGGACCAGTCAGCGTGAAGGCCTGGTGCAGCCAGAGCTGCTCCCTGGGGAGTTAATCAAGTCTCACTTATCCATGCTTTGCCCTTCCCACATCCGCTCTGCTCTTGGTAAAGAAAAGACTGATACGAAGCCAGAGGAGACTGTAAGGGCTCCCACAGGCTGCCTCCACCCCATAACGGGGTCTCTCATTTTCTTTTCATCCTGTCACCTCATAGAAACCAAATCACACTGTCCCTCGGTGCCGTACGCCGTTGCAACCCGCCGCTCTTCCACCCGCCAGGTCCATCTGTAAGGGGCTGTCCCCTTCAGCGGTCACATTCTCCTCTAAGCCCCTGGGGAGACAGCAAGCCCTGCCGCCTGTCACCCGTGCAGAGCCCAGAAGCCAGGGATGGGGCTCTGAAGCTTCTCAGGGGTGGCTCGGGCCGGGCCCTTGTGACCAGGGCAGTGGTCTCCCTGCTTCTCCTGCTCCTCATGTCCTCCTCAGGCATCTTTCCAGGGGCAGGTATGGCATGGACAGACTGTGGGGCAAAAAGGGCACTGACGCAGTGAGATTGGTGTCCTTGCATGGAGACTCGAGCAGACATGTGGAGGGAGGACCCCGTGTGTGAGCACTGCTAGAAGGAGCAGGGAGGAGGCAAGGCGCACACTGCCCCCGCCCCACCTCGGATTCAGACTCCTCCTCCTGGGCCGGACAGCAAGGCTCAGCTTGCTCTGAGGGGATTCAGCTGCCCCGCTGGCACTGTTCTGTGACACCGCCTGCAGGACCGTGCCTCACTGGGCCTCACCGGTGCCCTGGGGACCCAGCAACCTGGCCCTCTGAGCCAGCCAGGGGTGCCCAGCTTCTCCTGTCATGCTCTGAGGCTCCTCCTATTTCCATGTCTTTTCCTCCCCCAGGGCAGCCCCTGAAGTCCCTGCTACTGCCTGGGGACAGGAGCAGATGCCATCCCCACTCACACAGAGGGCCACTCTCCAGGACATAAAGGGCAAAGCTGCCAGCAGGAAATCCCCAGATCAAATCCGCACTCTCACTCCTGGGTGCGTGAAGGTGGGCAGCAGGTGACGCCCCTGCCCGATATGAAGCCTGGGCACACCTACCTGGGGTAGGAAGCTCCTGCCATGAAGGCCTCCTCCCCAGCTGGGGCTGCCCTCCTGAGGGGGGTTGGTGCATCCCTGAAGGTCACCCCAGGTCCCTTCCCCTCGGCCAGGCCCCAGGGTGCTGTGATGCCGGAGACCAGGGACCTGGCAGCCTGCAAGTCTGCCGGGCTCCGACAGGTCCACATGGGCAGGTGAGTCATCGGCCTATGGCCCCCGAGGGTTGGCCTGGGGAAGACTGAGAAAGGGAACTCAGACAGGCAGGACAGGTGACCCCACACACACACAAGAGAGGAGGTACTGGCAGTGGGAGTCTCCATGGTGATGGGAGAGCTAGCTCACTATGGAGCCAGTCCCCAGGTTCCTAAACAGGGCCCTACTGTCCCCTTGGCTGAGCCATGAGTGGCGGGTGTCTTCCAGTGCCAGGTGGGGCACTGGCTGCAGACCATACTCTATGGGCACCTTGGGGACCTTTCCCAAGACTCTGACCATGCACCCCAGCCCCTCACGCAGCCTTGAGAGCTTGAGCCCCATATAAGACGCAGCATCCAGGATGCCAGGATGCTCAGAGGTCACACAGGCAAGGGACTCATGTGCTGAGGCCGTAGAATCTGCTGACACGGCTAGTGGGACAGTCCACACCCAATAGCCACCCACTCTGGATCCCACGGGAGGGACAGCAGGGGTCACAGCTCCAACCTGGCTGGGCCTCCCTGCCACCTGACACTTGGTCCTAAACCACCTCCCTCCCAGGCGGCTTCCCTATTTGTTGGGGCAACGGCCCCCACCCCTGGACCCATCGGGGTGAAAGGGGAGAACTCAGAGCACGGAGTGTGAGCAGCACCCGCTAACTCTCCCAAAGAGCCTCTGGAAAAGATTGGGAGCGGCAGGGCGCAGGTGTTGGAGAGGCGGAGAGAGCCAGGGTCTCAACCCACTGCCTACACAAAAGCCAGATTTAGGAAAAACTGCAGAAAAGATTCTGCGTAACTATTTCCATGGAGGCCGGATTTATTTTCCAAAATTGAAAGGAGGCGCCACTGTTAAATGCACACTGTTTTCCTTCCACCTGATAAACAGAGGCAAGGAAGGACAGGAACCACATGAGTGACGGGGGAGAAAAAGCGGGGAAAGGCACACTGCCACCAAAAATGAAGCCATTATTAAAGTGACGTCAGCAAAGCCGGCAGAGGTGTAACCCAGCTCTCAGGAGCTAAGGCAGGAGGACTGCGGCTACCCAGTGAAACCCTGCCTCAATAAACAAACAAATGAGTAAGTAAAAACATAAACAAATGCTCTCGGCAAGATATACATCATTATCATGGGAAAACACAGGGCACTTCTGGTTCCGGGGTCGATCCTGCTGTTGGATGTGTGACCCTCGTAGGGCTGGGGTTCCAAACTGCAAACGAACACGGAGAAGCGAGTGGATGCCCCGTGGAGGAGCCAGGGAGGGGGCCTTTCCAGGGAGGCGGCTGTGGGGCAGAAGCGCAGGCTCTGCACCGACGCGAACTGGGCTGGCGCTCCAGTTCTGCTCCTTGGGAGCTCTGAGCCTCAGTTTCCCATCGCTGGAGCGAGATGCTGAGGCCTGCCTCAGGATGGTAGCAGGGCCGAGGCCGATGGGTGGGGGTGGAGTTGCCAGCGTGGGTGCATCCATAGGGGCTGGGAGTGACTGGTTTGGATGGGTGTAGACAGAGAATGAGGGAGTTCAAAGGTCAATGATTTCCCCAAGTTGCTGGACCACAAATTCCAAGAAAAGCCTAGCCGGGCATGGCGGCCCACACCTGCAATCCCAGCACTGCGGGGTGAGGCAGGAGGACTGCCTGGGGCTGGAGGCCTGGCTGGCTCCTAGTTCAAGGTCAGCCTGAATGAACTGCATAGGGAGCGTCTGTCTCCAAAGCAAGAACAGGGAAGCACATCGTCCGTCACTCCTGCCCCGGGTTCCGGCCACTTACCAGGCTGAAGTGCCTGGCTCCCAGCTGCTCCCGCAGGCGCAGGCCGTGCTTGTGCTCGGCGAGCTCCTTCTCGCGGCCTGGCAGGCCCATCTCCGACAGTCGCAGCCGGGACACGCGACCGCCCAGCTGCTCCAGCTGCCCGCATGGTCCGCGCTCCCCTGCGCGTGGCTCCCGCAGCCTGCGCGCCGCCTGCGCACCCTCGCGCTCCGTGCTCTCAGCTTTGGCCTGCAGCGCGCGCGGCTCCGCCAATGCCTTGGGGGAGCCCAGAGCTCCTGCTGAGGTGCCCACTTGGGCCAGAAGGAGGCCCGTGGCGCGGCAGAGGCGCCGCACGTCCCGCTCCAGCCGCTGCACCTGCGCCCGCAGAACGCGCTCCTGACCTCGCACCAGGCCCAGCTGGCGCCGCTGGCTCTGCCTGCAGTGCTCCAGGGCGGCCGCCTGCAGCCCCAGCGCCTCGTCCTTGAGCCGCAGCCGCTCCCGCCACCGCCGCAGCTGCTCCCGCTGCCGCTGGGCCTTGAGCTCCTCTTCCCGGACCTACAAGTTGGCGGGATGGAGGTCAGGAAGTCCCCGAGGCACGTGATCGGCCACGCTGATCCCAGCTGAACCTAACATTCCCATACCTGCACACAGTGCGGTTCACTGCATTAAAATATCGCATCACAGCAGCACAGTGTGTATTTCGGTGGCAGAGGCCTTTGGTTGTCGCTAACATTTTGTCCAGGACCACCCTGGCCCTGCACCCCTATGGGCTCCTCAGTCCTAGGAAAGGAACTGTGCGGGTGATCCGAGACGCAGAGGCCAGGCACAGCCCCAGTACCAGACACACCCACACCGGTTTGGAAACTCCACTCCAGAGAAACAGTGCCCTGCCCGGCCAGGTCAGAGGGCCGGGGGCCACCATCCGCCGCAGCTCCCCAGAGGGACGGGCTGGCACTGTCCCTCTGTGCCACTGTGAGCCTCATGGAGGTGCCTGTGTACCACGTCAGAATAGGGCCCACCATGGAACCCGGGATGGGACTCAAGCCATTTCTTTCCCTGTCTGATCCCTGCCTGTCCCAAGGCGTTGCTGGCCTGTGGTGCACCATGACCCCAAATACTGGGAGTCCCTGCCTGATTTTCAGAATTAATTGTGGGAAAGAAGTGAAAGGATCTCTCCACTTAGCGCCCTCTTTCTCTCATTTTTATTTATTGTTGCATTCCTGGAGCTGAAACCAGGGCCTGATGCATGCTACACAAGAGTTTTACCACTGAGAACTTCTCCAGTCCTTGGCATGGAATTTTTTTTTCGAGACAAGGTCTCACTAAGCTGGCTGTGAGCATTTGATTCCCCGCCTCAGCTTTCTGAGCAGCTGGGATTGTAAGTGTGCCCCAGCAGGATCCTCTGTGAAGCTGTCCTCCAGCCGCCGCCGGCATCTGCTGCCTCACCCTCTGCCAGAGAGTTTGCAGGAGACACACAGGAGCAGTCAGCAAACAGGAGGGAGACCCCTGGGGAAACCTCAGGTTGGCTTTGTTCAAAGGAGGGGAGAGACTGATTAAGACCAGGCAGAGTCTCAGGAAGGAAAATTGTCCCAGTTTTCCAGCTTGCAGGGTGCCGGGGCCTTGGGGTGTGCAAGCCCGTGCCAGCATAATAACCACAGCCCAGGGTGGAAGTGGGGTGTCCATGTGCACACGCCTCCCTGGTGACCACAGAGCAAGGGGCAAAGGACACAGAAGGCGCACCCACGTGCACCCATTAAGTTTATGAGGATCAGAACATGCTGTGGTGAGAGTGTTGTATGTGGATGGAAGTTTATGGCTGAGGCTGCTCATCCTAGGAGTCATTACATTAGAGAAAAATGGGAAGTATTAGAATTTGGGATATAAATGATGGTAAATCTCTATTTTTTAAATAACTTTAAAGATGGTGTTGCAGAAAATATTGAATTGTGAAAGTTTAAATACATTTTTTTTGTCTTTTTGAAACAGAGTCTTGCTATGCAGTTCAGGCTGATCCTAAGCTCACTTTGTAGTCCACGATGGTCTCGAACTTGCAAAGATCCTCCTGCCTCAGTCTCCCAAGTGCTGGGATTACAGGCGTGAGCCACCACCCCTGGCTTAAATACATTTCCTAAAATTTATTACAGTAAAAACTGCCATTAAAGCACTCCCAGCTACTCTACACCACTTTCCCCATCAGTCATCCTTTGGGGCGGTTCTTGGATGTTCTCTTTCCCAGGTGTCACCTCGTGGCTGTCTTGCTGTCCTGGATTGATTCAAACTGCTCATAACGATTTCAATCAAATAAAACATGTGACACTGAGTCCTCGTCCACCTCCTGCACCAGACCTGGCACCGTTGACTCGTGGCTCTTCCCGAAGGTCACGATGACCGTGACAGGTATACAGGACACTGAGGCAGCTACACTAGGACAACCAAGGACACTCATGAGGGAGGACTCCAGAGCTGCTCCAGAAAGTGGCGTGAGCAGTGGGAGCAATGAGGTGTGTCCGAGCCAGGCGGATGGGCTCTGAGGGCCCCCGATGGCAATGTGTCTGCTACTGTGATACTTTCTAAAAATGCAAAGGTCCCTACATTTCTGACCATGCCCTGTACTGCACAATACAGATGCCTCCAGCTGGAGACTGGGGGCCAGGCTGCAAAGCAGCAGAGGGTCCCGGTCAAATATGAGCCCTGCTCTGAACTTCCGGCCCTTTTCTGGAAATGGGATTGGTGAAGGGCCTGTTCCCCGTGCACACCTCCCAGGAGATGATGACACACACATGCAAGAAGGCTTAACACTGGTCCTGCCCAGGCTGGTCACCCCCTTGCATGGTTGTCACCACTGCCCTCCTCTCCATCACACTAGAAACCTCTCCACTGCTGGGAAACCCCATGGGTGGAGGAGGGCATGGCTCTGAACCCTTGTCAGGCGCTTTCCCAATAAAACCCCCTCAGAGCGGAGGGAACAGGTGCTGGGAGCCCAGGCAGGAAGAGGCTGGACTTGACACTGAGGGCCAAGCCCCGGAGACGTCAGGCTGGACCTGTCCCTCGCACCCACAGACTCAGTGTGCCCGGACTCCCTACAGCCCACTCCCCCGGCCTTCGGAGGGCGCCCAGCCAACGCCCCTCTCCTGCAACACCCTCTGCTCTTGGCCCGCACACTTCCCCTGTCCCCACCACCTGGGCCTCCGTACACACCGCGCTTACCGACTGCACGCTCTCCACAGCTTCCTTCTACTCTGCCCCACACAAACTGAGCAGTGTGTCCCCCACCCTGGTCCCCAGCCTGAGGTTGTTTGCCTGTTTTCATTTTGGTTTTGGTTTCGGTTTTGGTTTTCTGAGGCTGGACTTGAGCTCATGGTGACCCTCCTGCCCCAGCCTCCCACTGGAATTGGAGATGTGACCACCACACCTGCCTGCCAGCCCCACTTCTCTGTCATTGCTGAGGGTGGCGATCAGGTCACCATCTCCTGTCCTTGGGCCCAGAGGCCAGTACGCTGAGCCCGCCCCTCCTGTCCCAGGGCTTTCAAGGCCAGCAGGGCAGGACCGGATCCCATTTCCCAAGGCAGCCTGGCTGCACATCTGGGACAGAACAAACCGTGGGAGCAGGAAGGACACAGGACACACATACCTGGCTGGCCAGCTCCGCCTGCAGCGCCCGAAGCTGCTCGTGGGCCCTGAGCGACGCGCTGCGTTCCCGGACCAAGCGGGTGCTGAGCACATCCACCCTGCGCAGCAGCTTCCTCTCAGCCAGCTCCAGCTCCCGGACCCTGTGGCCAGATGGGGGATGGGGTGCTCAGGACAGGCAGGTGGAACCGGGGCCGTCCCCCCTCACCCTGTAGTCACTTCGATGTCCTGACACTGCAGTTTTAAAAGCGCCCCTGCCTCACCTCCCAGGCTTCACAGCCATCCCTGGAGTAATAAAGGGGCCGGGGTCAGACTCGCACACTCTTCTCACTCCTGAGTGGCAGCCCCACTTCCGCTGAGCCCACTGCTTAGGCTGAGAGCTTTGTCTACACTGGCTTCAATTAATTCCACCAACATTACCAGCCATGGGGGAGGGGTTGCCCCAGCCCTACTTCCCAGGGAGCAGATCAGAGAGGCCAGGCGGTTTTCCCAAACCCACACAGCACTGTGGAGTCCAGTCAATTTCTACACTGAGTTTTTAACCCTTTACTATATTGCTTCCCCTTTAGCTACATCCACAAGAATCTCTTCTAAGGAAAAGGCTATATCCTCACACTTTCAAGTGAGCAGGGAACAGAGCCTGACCATTCAGCAGTGTGGGAGGCTGGAGCCCCAGGGGCCCAGTGCTGTCCTGGCCGGCAGAGGCTGGACACTGCCCAGTCCCCTGAGGGTTCCAGCCTTGGCACTGTCACAAGAAACCAGGGTGCCCTTTGGGGTCCTTTCCCTGAATCCAGGCCTGGGGCCCTGCACACTCAGGACAGACACCCCCACACACGTGTGTGTGCACACACATGTACGTGAGCTCTGCAAAGACTCGGCCAGCACAGGGCTCTGACTGGTCTCCTGCGCCTGGGGACCCCAGGATCTTATCTGTGGAGCGGAGGTCCTGCACCCTGCCCCCCAGGTTAAATGGAAGGAGTAAATGGAAGGCAGCATGCTGTTGATAAATAGTCCCAGGGTCCCCTGTGCTACCGCAGAGCTCAGGCCTGGGAGGGTCTGGAGGTGGCGAAGGGCATGCGTGTGACCCCCGAGGCTCAGTGATGACCTGATAAGCCCTTTCAAAATGAGCAGAAGAGCAGCCCCGTCCCAGTTGTGAGTCAGGCCGGGCCATCTGGTCCCTGACACGACATGCTGAGAACCAATGGAAAAAGAAAGGCTTTCCTCTTTTTCAGAGCAGCCAACAACAGAAAATGTAGGCCGAGATTCCGACCTGACACGGTGGCTGCACACGGGCTGAGCAGACTGCCATGGTTACTGGAAGGCTGACCTGGGCCCCAAGACCAAGGGACGCAGCCTTCAGAGGGCAGAGGGGCTGCCAGGTGGTCAGGTCCAGGCCAGGAGTGGGGGGCACCCAGAAGACAGGGGTCCTTGGCAAAGCGGTCGCAGGTCAGTGGGACTGGGAGGGCTGGGAGGGAGAAGCGGGATAAGCAGGGAGCCCAGGCCTAGAAGGAGCCAGGAGTCCTGGACCCACAAGGGAATAGACAGATGCCCATGAACCCTGGGACAGTGCAGACCAGGACACCTCAGCAAGAGCAGGCTGTGAGACAATCCTGGGGCACCATGGTCACTTGTTACAGCCGCTGCAGGGGACTCACGTGCCCACCAGTGTGGACAGGCAGTGAGGCGCCAGGTCCTCACAGTTCAACCAAAACAGGTTTAAATACCATGCAGTAAAGAGCCACTTCATTCCTGGCTCCAGGGTCCCCATAGACAGAATGAGGAGGACTCCATCACCCCCTGTCCAGCTCTGTGCTAAGCGCTCACCACGGGATTCTCGTCAGGCACAGGAATGCCATCCAGAACCTGCTGTCTTTAGAGGAAGCAAGTGTGCAGGGTGGGGCTGGGAGTGCAGTTTCCCTGTCCCAATGTTTTAACACTGCTGATACACTCTTTAAAATAAGTACTTTTAAATTCTAACTCTTTTTTTTTTTTTTTTTTTTTTTGGTCTTTTGAGACAGGGTCTCTCTATGCAGTTCATGCTGGCCTTGACCTCACTTTGTAGCCCAGGCTGGTCTCAAACTTGCAAGGATCCTCCTGCCTCAACCTCCTGAGTGCTGGGATCACAGACATGCGGCACCACGCCCGGCTTTCTAGCTCTTTCTCTGAAGTAAATCCCTTGTGCACCACCTCTATTCCCCTCCAGCTAGGCCAAAGCCAGAGCTGAAATTAGCCTGCAGCCTGCCTTTAGGGTTGTGCTTGAGGGGACACTCAGCAATGGGCTTCACCCTCCCTGCCTCAGTTTCCCAACCTATAAAAGGGATGAGGCACTTTTGCCTCTTTACAACTCAAGGGAGTTGGGGGCAGGGTTCTCCTTCACCCACCACGAATCTGACCCCCTCACCCCACACCATCTCCTACAAGATGTGACTGATCTTCAAAAAGATGCGGGCACAGATCACAGCCCCCTCCAGCCTGGCTCCCAGGTGGGATCTCTCCTCCCAGTGCTCGTGATGTCCCCAGGCCTCTGTCCCACTCCCCGGAGGGGTCTCCCGTCCGCCCTTCGCCCTCTGCTCTTTCCTCTGCCTCCTCAGGAGGAAGCACCGTCTACCCCGGGCTGCTCTGAGCTGACTGCCTATCATCCTCCAGTGCCCAGCCCCCAGGACCTCAGAAGCCCCTGTGCTGGGAGACAGGGCTGGGTGAGGTGACTGAGTCACCAGGGCAGCCCGTTTCCCATGTGCCCAGAGCCCTCATAAGAAGAGATGGGGACACAGAGGGACAAACACCTGCCAGCTGAGCAGCAAGGCCTCCAGGGCACCCTCCCTGGACTTGGGCTCCAGACACTCGTGGAAACTGGGCAAAGGGCACCGCTTCCCTGTGACCCACGGTGCAGATAGAAGGAAAGAAGGAAGGAGGGAGGGAGAGAGGGAGGGAAGGAGGGAGGGAGGGAGGGAAGGGCAACCACACAGCAAAAGAGAAGAAAAGAACTGCTCTGCTTCGTGGAGTTCTTCATGTGAGCACTTTACCAAGGTGGAAAGCAGAGCATTGTCTGTAAATTCAGTTCTTGACTCCCCCTTTGAAAGCAAAGACAAAAACCAGAAATCAGGGGCGCCCCACAAAAACCCGAGGTGCTCGGTTGCTGGGATACTAGTAAATCACCATCGTGGACCCAGCCAGGGAGGACTGTGGGCTCTGTCCTGCTGGCCAAGGGCGGAGACGTCTCTGCGGGCGGGAAGCGTGGCTCAGCTGCGGGGCGCTCACCTAGCAGGCTGGGGCCCTAGGTTCCAACCCCAGCACAGGAAAGAAGGATGAGAAGGGTGAGGGAAGGAGGGATGGAGGAACAAGGGAAGGAAGGGAGATGGATAAAAGGAAAGCAGGAAAAGAGGGAGGGAAAACAGAGAAGAGGAAGAGACAGAGGGGAGGAGGAAAGCCTGGGCCTTGGAGAAAAGCCCGAATGAAACACTGCCTGGGGATGTCATCCTGTCACGGGGGCAGAGCCACAGCAGGGCAGAGAAACAAGGCAGAGCTCCTAACACAGATACAAGAAGACAAGGGGCAGAAGGCAGGCAGAGACCACAGCCACCCAGAAGAACAACTCTGGAGCTGGGCCACCCCCAGGGCTGGGATCACAGAGGAGGCTCAGCCAGGGTACGAGGAGGAGACACGTGGCCTCGTCCCCCATCCCTCCCTTCAGGTGCCTCGAATGGGCAGCTCCCATGGGAGCCAGAGCTGGGGAACCACTGCAGGTGGAAAACGGAGGCTGGGAAGGGCAGGGGACCAGGGCGAGGGGCACATCTGGCCAGCCAGTCCCTCCACAGGAGAGATGGCACTGCATGACATCACACACAGCTGTGATGCCCACCACAGAACACGTACCTGCTCCTCAGCTCGGGGGACTCCAGCGGGACACCCTTGTCAGCTGTGGCCACCAGGTTCTGTTCCAAGGATTCTAGCTGCCTCCTGAGCCCACCAGTGTCCACATCCAGGCTGCCAGCCACTTCCTCTGGAAGTCGCCCCTGTTCCCCACCGCTGTCCGCTGCATCCTGGAATATCCAGCACGTGTCAATCTTCAGGTCAACGTCCATGACATCCGACCCATCACTGCCGGGGACTCTGATGACATAGCTGAAGCTCTTCTCAGTCCGTCCTTGGGAGGTGGGCTCCATCCCGCAAAGATGTCACAGGTGGAGATTTATAAAATTAAGCCAGGTTTCATGATGGAGTTTCTGGAGATTCTGAGGAGGCCCTGCGGCCAGCAGATTGCTCAGGAAAATACCGTCTGAGGAGCACAAGGACAGGTGGATTATTCATGAGTGGGGGCTCGGGTTTCACTGGCACGAACCTCATGCAATATGGATGAGGCTCTTAGCTTACACATGGGTGTGCCACAACTCACCCAATGGGAGGCCACAGCCCTGAAAAGTCAGCTGGGATCAAATGTTAACACTGCACACAAAGGAAAAATCACACCTCCAGGCAGGACCATCAGGATGTCACAAATTCTTGGAGGTCAGTGGAGCTCAAGTGTCCACCTCCTAATGAAGAAGGGTCTGCCATAAATACGTGCTGGGACCTGTTTGTGCAGAACCTGAGAGGCTGGCTGGGTGAAGGGAACCGAAATCAGCACTGCCCCAGGGTTCCCTTCGTGCCCTGCCCGGTCCAGTTCTCCCAGTGACTCTTCAGGGGATCAACATGACCGTTTTACAGAAGGCAAAAGGAAGGCTCTGAAAGCTTGGGGAGTTTGTTCCGGCCCCACAAATGGGATGGAACATGGCAGGATTGGGTTCAAGCCCAGATCTAATTCCAAAACTGAGAGGCTGTTTTTCCCCCGCCGCCAAGAGCTACAACTCAGGGACAGCGCAGACCAGGCCCCTACGCAGGGGAACACGTGAGTCTGAGGGCCACAGATTGTGCAGGAGCCGAGGGCTGACAGAAGTGGCCAAGGACTTACGGGTGCAGCTCTCAGGCCACAGCCATGTGGGACAGAGTGGCCGGGTGGGGCTGTCCCAGCATACCCGGGGTTTAGGACCAATGCATCACTGCAGGCTGAGCCCCGGGGGTTGGCAGGGCTAAGCAGGGAGGACCCAGGAGCAGGGATGGGGTGGCCAGGTTGAGGGAAGTGAAGTGGAAATTCAACTCCAGAGGCTGAACTCCTGCTGTGAAAGCAAATGCTGGACACCCTCCCTATCCCCCCACCCCCCCACTGCCCACCCCCGCACTCCTTTCCCTTAGTTCCCTTAGAAGCCCTGCCAAAGCTTTTCTTGTCTCTTAGAAACACCGCCCTCCTGTGGTGTCTGCAGGGGACCCACCTGGACAAAGTCTTTCCTCTTTGTGCCCACTGCCACGGCTCTCTTCACTAGTGACTCTTCTGGGACCCTGCCTGCTCTGGATGAACTTTGGCAGCCCAGGACACCCACAGTGCCACCACCCACAGGGCCCAAGGCCCTATGTGAGATAGCGCAGTACTTTCACAGAAACTGCACTATCCGCCACCGCTATAAATCACCCAGTGACCATGGTCCCTGATCCCGAGGCCCAGTGTAAATGCAGTGCTGCACACAGCTGTCACGCAGCCCCACTTAGGGAACAGTGGCCCAAGAAGTCTGTCTACGCTCAAGAGAGACACAGTGTCTTCAGATATTTCCTGCCTGCAGCCGGCTGGATCCAGAGCAAGGGACTGTGATGCCGGGGGCTGAGGTCTGTATGAATCTTTCTTAAGGTTAAACAACCTGGCATCAGCGTTCTGACCTAGCAAAGTCTTCCTCAAGGAGCTGGGAAACAAACCCTGCTGGGGAGGACACAAACCAGTGAAGGCCTGGGACCAGCTGGACCCTCACCAGGGGCCCCTCTAGCCCTCCCCTGCATCCTCCCTCCACCCAGCATAGCAGAGAGGCGGCTGGCACCAGGCCTCTGCCTGAGGAAGGACTTGCTAGGGAGAGCCGGAGGAGGTGGCTCGCACCCCCAGGATTGCCTAGGTGGAGGCCAGGCCGCATGCAGCCGCTAGCTGCACCGACCGACTGGTGAGCCCTGAGTAGGGACAGAGCAGATGGATGGGGAGCAGCTGTGAGGGCAGGGCCTGTGCCTCCCGGGGCCTTGGTGACACCCCACCGTTGAAGGTGGTCATACGAAGGACAGAGCAGGGCTTGGAACCGGGTGAGGCACGGAGGCAAGTGGGGTGGGAGATCCCCCCCACCCCCGACTGACCTCCACCTGCCCCAGAGCACCCTCTGGGGCTCGGGCTGGCATCTGCGGAAGCCCCCATGAGAGCTTCAGCAAGCTGGGGAGGAAGAGGGGCCCCTCGCTGGCTGGCTATGGGGCCTTTCCACCGCACTGTGTGGCACCGTTTTATGGTTATATCTAGATGTCCCCGCGAGCACCCGAGAGTCCCCAAGGGGCTCATGTGCTATGATCATGGGCCAGACCTTTGGAGGTGATGGCCGGCTGTGAGGAGGCGGGGCCTATGGAAGAGCCATCGTGGTGGGCGTGGCTTGTGAGGGTTCCGCCCCCTCCTGGCTCCTCCCTTGCTCTCAGCTTCCTATCCCCCATGCCATGAGCAAGCCCTTCCACCGGGGAGCCTCTGCCGACCAGGCAAGGCCTGAAACGTCTGTAAACTGTGAGCCAGGACGAACCTCACCTCTGTAAGTTGTGGCTGTGATATTTCTGTCCCAGCAATGATGAAAATGACCTAAGACCCTTTTCTAACAGGTTCTGGTTACAGGTACAAAATAAACTGAAATCGGCCATCAGAGTTTGTCCTGGGTGTGTCAGGGGGGCACTCCGGAGACCAGCTGGTGATGGGAGTCAGGGAAAGTGGGAGCCACTGAGCCCTGACCTGTGGAAGGGAGAGAAACCAGAGTGGACACAGCCTTGCCCAGCGCCCTACTCTGAGCTGCAGGTGCTTGGTGAACCTCTGGCTGGGCCCTCGCTAACCACTCAGCCTGGCTTATAGATCCTGCGCCCTGCGTCCTGGGTGACAGCACCCACTCTGGGGCCAAAACCTGTCTGAGAGTATGGGAGCCCCAGAGGGAAGAACATCGCAGTTGTGGGGACATTTCCTCATCCCTGGCTCCCTTGTCCCCTGGCTGTCACTGCTCAGAGGAGCAGGAAGCAGAAACGCGTATGCAGGCTGCTCTGGGAGGGGAGGAACAGGACAGAGAGTTGTGGGACAGGGTCCACCGCCTTCCTCCTTTCTGCATGAGAAAGTGACCTTGTAGCTCCGCCCCCCGGGAACCCCATAGGTGTTGCTAAGCAACACAGTACTGAGGCTGAGCCTCCCCAGATGTAGGCATTGTGGGGGAAGACCATACCTGATGGCCCTCGGCTCTGTGGCACCTCAGGCACCATGACCTACACCCAGGCCCGCCCTTAGGGACCTGGGACCTGGGTGGGGATGAGAAAAGCTGGGCCTCCAGGGGCAAGCAGCGCCTGCATCCGATCACGTGCGCCTCCTTCCCCGGGCCTGAGCTGTTGCCTGGGCCCAGATGGGGCTACTGCGAAGAAGGTAGCCCAGGTCTAAAGCAGGGACATGGCCGGGCTGGGAGTGACCAGGCACATCTGACTGCAAACCCAGGCCACTCCATCGTGTACTGTCTGGGTGGGATGGCCAAGTAGACAGGGAGAGAGCCCTGGTCCTTGAAAGGCAGGGACAGAAGGGCATGAAGACCCGAGTCCCACAGAGCCCCATGCAGGGGACCCCATGCCCTGCCAGGGCCTTGACTGCCCTCGGGTCCACTTTTTCACACAGGAGGTCACCTCCGTGGTACCTGACCACCTAATCTTGATTCATCACGGGCTGGACTTGAGGATGGTTTGAGGTTTGGGTTTCAGCAGAGATGGGCTCATCTCAGCTGTCCTAGCTGTGTCCATTTCGAGCCCAGATCCTCCCGTGCTGAGCTCACATCCTTTCCTCTCTGTCCTTGCATCCGGCCCTCTAGGGATATTGGTTTCTCTTGACAGCGTGAATCTCAGTTGTTTCTGTTTCCTGCAGATCTTGTCACGGGGCTATGGCGGCTCCACAGCCAACAAACACAGAGCATGGATGGCGGCTGCTGACGTGATGCTGTGTCCTGGTCTGTGATTTGTCCTCTGTGTGGCCTTGTGGTCCCAGTCTTCACGCTCACCCTCCTTAGCTATACCATGGTGATGGCACATCCTCCCTACCCCACATTCAGGAGAAGACGGCCACCTGAGCAGGTGACTTGTGGGGGCCCTGCCCCACCCTAGCACAATGGCAGGGATGGCATTCGAAGGTCATTTGTCTCTTCTCCGGAATTTCCTCCTGGGGTCCGCTTCCGGCAGCTGGTATCCAGCCACCCCAGCCTGCCCTTCACCCACTGTCAGGGGCATCCACCCCTCCCCCCAAAAAAACTCTCCTGCCCCACTCAGGAGTAAGGGTCCTTCCTGTATGATGTGGCAATGACCCTGCTCTGACCAGGAAAGGCTTTTTCCCAAGGGGCTTTAGTGGTTCCCTCCTCCCTGGTGGTCCCCCTCAAACTAACCAAATCTTGAGGCAGGTGAGTATCACCTCCTCGATGGTGGTGTCTGTCCTCAGTCCTTGGGCTACCTGGCCCTAAGGATACCATGTTCTTGGGTTTTTGCTGTGTCATGCCCACTAGAGTGGCATATCCTTTGGCTTCCCGTGGAAATTGGGGGCTCCTGAGGCCCACCCCATCACTTCCACAAGGCTGCAACCCTGTCGGCCACCAGCTGCTGCTACATCTGGTTCTGGGGGTTCCAGCAACAGGGCCCAGCTGAGGGCTCAGATTCAGGCAGACAGACTCCGAGATGCGCACAGCACAGTTCCTAGGGTTTATGTACACAGGGCAGAGGGGGCTTCTGTGTCCAGCTGTGCACACACCACAGCCAGGGGAGGCACGTGCGTAAGGACAAGGACTCGAGCCCTTCCCCACTGTGCAGCAGCACTCCTGCCCCTTGGAGTCTGTTAATTGCACTTAGTTTCCTGACATTCGGGTCTCTGCCCCTCAGGTTCTGGAAGGTGCTGTGGCTGGGAGACAGCCCTGGCTAAGAGGGTGACAGCCCCATTGTCCCTGCCAAGTCTGTGCAGCTTGGGCTAGCCAGGACCCAGGGGTACACCCAGAAGGCCTGCTGCTGTCAGACACATGTGAATTCATTTTCCAGTCTTGGACTTCGAACAGCGTGTTTTGCCATTGAGTTTTGGTTTGAGTGGGGTTGGAGTGGCTGGGAGTTCGGCTTATTCCGCAAGCTCTTTCTCTAGCCTGTAAGGTTAAACACAGTCGGAAGTGGCACCACAATGGAGGATCACAATGGCATCGTCCACTCCTGCTACCCTCCCCACATTGGGGCACCCCTCCTCCAGCCCCCATCCCAGCCTCACACCCCATACCCCTATCAGCAAGGCTTCCTGTGCATTGTACCCAGACTCAAAGTCACTCCCTCGTTTACTCCACCAAGGAAGAGCCAGCCTGTCCCGGCTCCAGGACAGAGGTACCAGCCCATGCGCTACGGGCAGGGTCTGCATCAGGGATGCTGGGGAGTCAGGGGGGGCTGGTATCAGAGCTCAGCATGTGGTGTCCTGACATCTAGTGGGTCCTGGTGGTCTCCGAAGCTGGGGACCTCAGACTAGGCTGGTCCAGCAGCAGAGCTCTGGAATCTCAGGGTCCTCACGGACCCCACCCTGTAATGGGTAGTATGCAGAAGGGCCTGGGTGTTGGGGCATGGACTCAGGATGGCAGCTGGGTGCTGGGGACCCCGGTCAGGGAGGGATGAGATGCCACATGGCTTGATTCTGGCAGAACAACACATTGGGGCGAGGGCAGCAGGAGAGGAGGGAGGCAGCAGTGAGAGTCTGGCCTCGTGAGCCACTCGCCTTCCAACCTTCTGCTCCTGCAGACCCCTTACCAGGGAGCCCTCTCACTCAGCAGAAAATGTACCCGTCCCCTTGGCAACAGAGAGGACCAGAGGCTGAGCAAATTCGAAAGAGTCTTCAGGATAAGCAGAGGCTCCTGCTCCTGTGGTGGGGCTGCAAAAACCCCAAACCCCAGAGCTCAGGAGCCAGGGGCGAGAACCCCAGATCCACCCATGTTGCAGGGTGCTGGTCCCTTACAGAACGCCCAGCCAAAGCAGGGAGGAACCCCATTGGGCTAGGAAGCCTGGGCTCTACCGGGGGAGGGGAAAGGTACCAACCTGAGTGCTCAGCTCCCTGGGGTCATCAAGGCCACAGAATGAATGCTAGTGAGAAAAACAAAAAAAGGAACAAAAACTATAACATAAGACCAAAAGAAAATGAGGAAAAGAAAGAAAAGAAAAGTAGATGTAAGATAGGTAGCATGAATCCAATGACAGCATCTTATAAGAACTACGACACAAGGCAGGGAGGAGCGAGAGGCAGGCTTCAGGAGCGGCGTGCACCTGGGCACCGGCCTCCAGCATCCCACACCGAGTGAGTTTCCCTCCATGCTCCCCAGCACCCCACCAGCCCTGGTACCACCCATTCCAGAGACCCGGACTTTGCTGTGATGCTTGACTTGGCAGGGCAGGGTAGAATGTGGGCATCCAAACCTTAGGCGGGGGCCAGGGACATAGTTCAGTGGCACAGTACATGCCTGGCAAGTGCAAAGCCCTTGAGTTCGATTCCTGGTACACAAACTTCTGGTGGGCCTTGGCCACACTGAGAGAAGGGGGATTGTTTTGGGCCACAAATATATATGTTAACATTTATAAGCAGCAAAACTGCTTTTTATATTGTCCGTTATAACATTTAAAAGAAAGGGTGACAGAAAGCTCGTAGCAAGACACCATGGATTTTTCTTTTGAGGCAAATGTCTGACTGTAACTTCATACATTTCCAAAATTAATAAGCAATTCGCTTATTTTCTAGCATTAGTGACACTGTATGTGATCGTAACACTATCATGAGCGAAACCTCCTTGATACGTTTGTATTTCCTATATCACAGCTACTGAAAAACCACTTTCACTTGTTATTCTATGAAATAACACAAGCCCAAGTTTAAGAATATAAAAGTGCACACCGCTGCTTAATACCCACGAAAGCCTTCTGCACAGGTGCACACATGGGTAGCTGCTTGAAATACTATGATCTCAAAGGGAAAATGTCACATAATGTTAAAGTCATGATCTTGTGGGGCTTCTGTCCAGGGCCACATGAGCCCTTGAGCTGGGGCTCAGATGCCCCTGGGACAGAGGTGAGGACACTTCCACGGTCCTAGCTGGCTGCTCCAAGGACCCTGTACACCAAGGCCAGGAGAGAAGCCCTCCAGATTGCCTTCCAGCTCACAGACAGCAAGCCCTCCCACCCGGTCTCTGTGGCTTCTTCTTTTAAGACAGTCATTGTTTAAATTATTTTTCTTTATTCCAAATCTTTTTTTCCCCATTCATTGATTTTTTAAATGGGGGGGGTAGCCTTAAAGGTATTAAAAACTATACAAATCAGCATAAAAGACTTTTTTTTTGAGACAAGAGTCTCATTATGTAGTGCAAGCTGGCCTTGAACTAGCCTACGCAGCCAAGGCTGGCCTCAAACTCAGCAATTCTCCTGCCTCAGTCTCCCTAGTAATCCCAGCTGTAATCCCCAGGTCTGTGCCACCACACCAGGCTCAGACTTTTTTTCCGTACTTATTCATGACTTGCTTCGTTACACAGAATTGCTGGGAATTAGATGAAGCGTATTTGCAACATTACTTCCAGCTCCTGAAAATTATTCTTTTGTCCCCCAAACAAAGTAATAGTGCCCCTATATTGTTCAGTGGTGGTAAAGAAACTCCAAACAGCCACCAACTTCTCTCAGAGTCTCAGAAAGTAAGAGCTGGCAGGGCCACTGGAATCACCCCGCCTTCACGTTCTACGTGGAGAAACTGAGGCACAGGAAGGGGAAGGACTTGCCAAGGCCGTCCAGCAGGGCATAGCCAAGTCTCTGACCTCTGAGGAGAGACAGATGAGCCACCAGCGACGGCAGCCAGAGTGCGCAGTAAGACACAAGTGATGGGGCCTCACAGAAAGCTCCAGGTCCTGTGGCCTCACCAGGGGCCCAATATCCTCTCCTCCTGCCCCGCCACCTGCTGGCTCAGTTCCCTGGATCGAGTGAGGCACATCTGCTTTCAGAAGAGCGGAAGACGGCCAACAAGCCATCCAAGCGCTTCTCAGTGTAGCTGAGACTGAAAGTGTCCCCAGAGCCTCCCATGCTCACAGGCGGGGCTTTTGGAAAATCAGAAATGGTGAGGATGCCACAACTGACTTCCGTGAAGAGGCGGGGCCTGGTGGGAAGAGGCGGGTCCAAGGGCGGGGCCTGCCAAGAATAGGCGGGACCCAGGGGCGGGGCCTAATGGAAACAGGCAGTCCTGGGGTGTGGTGTGGTGAGAAGGGGCGGGCTCGAGGGTAGAGCCTGGTGAGAAGAGGTGGGCCCGGGGGCGGGGCAGATGGGAAGAGGCGGTTCTGAAGGTGGGGCCCGGCGGGCAGGGCCTGGAAGGACTCCTTTCCATCTTGGCTCCTCCTTTCTCTCTGCTTCCAGAGCCATGTGCTTTGAGCAGCTCCCCTCTGCCAAGCCCCTGTGCCCTCATGTTTTGCCTTGGAGCCAGCCAACTGTGTACTGGAACCATGACCCAAAATAAACACATCCTTGCTTAAATTATGGGTATTATGTCCCAGCAACAAGGAAGTGACTAAGGCCCCATGTATCCTCTCCTACCCAGTAGGAGCCCATCACTTTGCATGTGTGCCTTTTCCACCTGAGCTTTTAAATTTTCATCCGCAAGGACAATCGGCCATGTCCTAAGCCTTTTTTGGCTGTCATCAATGGCTGTGTGATCCATTTGGCCATCGAAGTCACCAAGCTGTTGGGAGACCAGAAGTGCCCCACTTCAAGAGATGGTTAACCTCGGGGACCTCGGGGACACTAGGTACACGCACAGAAAGTGATAAATGCCACACTGGGTCCTTCTGCACATGAGGTCCTCAACAACAAGTGTGTGCCTGCCCTGATGAGTGGCATGGTGCCAGCAGGCAAGGGGAGCGCCACACTCCCAGGGTGTGCCACCCCTTCTCACTGGGACCAGGGGCCAGGATCCCAATCTGCCCCAGTCCTCAGCACATGGGGCTAAGTGGAAAATCCTGATCAGACCGAGGGGGCCCAGGGAGGCCAGCCTTGTTTGCTTCCTGGAGGAGAGAGACTGTGGTTTTTTTTTTTTTTTTTTTTTTTTTTTTTTTTTTTTCTTTTTGAAACAGGGTCTCGCTATGCAGTTCAGGCTGGCCTTGGGCTCACTTTGTAGCCCATGCTGGTCTCGAACTTACAAGTCTCCTGCCTCAGCCTCTCTAGTGCTAGGATTACAGAAGTGTGCCACCATGCCTGGCTGAGACAGCATCTTCTTTGAACATACAACTGGTTCTGGTGTGTGGAAGTCATTTATGATGAATGAATCCTTAGGAAAGGACCATGGCTATGGCAGGGGACATGATGGCCTTGTCACAGCCAGTCATCTCATGCTTCCTAGTGAGGTGGCAGCAGATGTGGGTGGAAAACACACAGGTATATGCACACACACACACACGCATGCATGCAAGCATGCTGCCTGGCAGTGGACATCCAGACAACCCTAAGGAGGGGGAGTCTCTACCAGTAAGCACCCACCGGTGGACGCTCAGATTTCCTGGGGGTGCTGATATGGGGAAGGGCAGAGCCTCCTTGTGGGACTTTAGGAAACCATCAGGAAGACAAATTCCCCACCCATATCTGGGGCCACAGCTGGCCCCTACCTTTTCCTCCAGCTCCTTCAGGTGCCGCTTCTGGAGCTCCAGCTTGCCCTCCAAGTCCCGGATCCTCTGAAACACACAGGGCATGCATCACACAGCAGCCTCTCCAGGACATGAGCAAGATGACAAACAGCAGGCAACTTCAAGAGCCGGGCTCAGCACCAATGCCAGTGGCGCCATCACCCACACTGACCGGGGTGACATCCCAGCACCCCAGGCTGGGTCCAGATGTCCCCAAAGCCTCATAGAGTCATAGGTGGGGATTTTCAGAGGAGGCTGGATCTGACGCTAGGACTTGATTCTTGGTGCAATGCTAGGATCGATGGCGCTAGGATTAAGGGTGTCAGTGCTGCCCGTCCTGAGTAGTCTGGGTAAGATGTAAGGGGTGGAAAGAGCTGTAGTCACCCCTTACTGCTTTGTTGACGTCTGCCTGCCATGAATTGTTCTCTTCAGTGCTCCTCTGCCACGCCACCCTGCCTTGGAGCCAGCCAACTATAAACTAAAACCTCTACAAGCTGTGAGCTAAATAAGCCTTTCATCCTTTAACTGTGGGCATTGGGTATTTTGTCTCAGCAACAAGAAAAGTAACTAAGACAGTGCCACTCCCCTCCAATCAGTGCTCCCAAAGGAACTGCATTGTGGTTTCTGTTAAAGATGGGTGGATTTTAGCTGGGCATATTAGTAATCCCAGTAATCCCAGCTACTTGGGAGGCTGAGGCAGGAGGATCAACCTGAGCACCTTTACCAAAATCTCGCAAATTTTTAAAAAATAAACAAGGGCTGAGGACGTAGCTCACTGGTAGAGCATTCCCGGGTTCAGTCTCCAGTAGAACAAAAAAGACAATGACAGATGGATGCTGTCTCTTCCTCACATTCATGGAAATAGGACTAATGGCATATGCTTTTAAAAGAAGATCTTTCTAGTATATGAGCATCAAGACTGAACCTGGACCCTGGGACACCCGGGGCAGACTGGTAGAGAACAGAAACCAGGCACGAGTCCACATCAGGTCTCTGCACATATTCATTCTGCAAAGAGCTGCAGGAGGGGGTCAGGACAGCAGCAGGTGACAGCACACCCACCATGTGGGGCCTCTGGGCCTTTCTCAGTTCAGCATTGAGCCCTGGATCCCTCAGTCCCTGAAGACCAGGATGGCTGGTCACACTTGGCACTGCCCCTGCCCTCTCCAGGTCACCAAGCATTCTTCCAGTGCCACCACAGTGCCCAGCCAATGCAACCTTTCCCAATTTAGTTTTCCCTGTGCACTGGGGAGGCCATCACCCTAAGGCAGTACCCCAGCGACCTGTGTGCACCCGTGGCTAGCATCACTCATTGGGCTCCTAGGCCCAGGCGGCCAATGTGTGGCCTGGAGGTTCCCATTCGCTCCACGAATGGGGGCATCCATGCCCACGGGGACCCACAGATGTGTGGTGTGAGGTAGAGACATGGGAGCCCCACCTGCTGGGCCTGCTGCAGCATCTCCATGCGCTCTCGAAGGATCTGGCTGTCGAACTCACGGCTTTGCCGCAGGATCTGCCTACGGACCTTCTCCACCGCTGCCTGCAGGTCCTCGCGCTGGCCCGCACTCAGGGCCTCGCTGGCCCGCAGCCCTGGCTCCTGCTGCAGTGCATTGTACAATGTGGCCTCCAGGTCCTGGATTTTCTGTGAGGCCCAAATCACACAGACAGGGACAGGTTGCAAAGGGGTGGACAGGCACCCTCAGGAGGCTGTGGCGGGACAGTTCTGGGGCAGAGAGGAGATGTGCAGGGCCCATAGCGCAGCAAGCCATCTGGGGGTACTGGGGGAGCCTCTGTCCTGTGCACACATCACCAGGAACATTTCCCCCTGGATGGCCAGGCGAACCTCCAGCTTATGTGGGGGACAAAGGCAAGCAGGAGAAATAACCACAGCCTCCCCTCCTGTGTGAGCAAAGGGCTTTGGGGTTCACCTGCTTGGATTTTTGTTCTGATTTTTGATACTAGGGTGCTAGGATTAAGGGTGGGTGATTGCTAAATCAGCCCACTGACTGGTTTGACACTGCCCTAATCCTGGGAGCCCAGACAAATATAAAAGGGGCAAAAAGAAGCTGCCGAGGTCCCTGGCTTGCTTTGCTCTCTTTTCCTGCCATGAACCATTTCTCCTTTGCCATGTGCCACCCTGTCCTGAAGCCAGCCACCTACAGACTGAAACCTCTAGAACTGTGAGCCAAATCAACCTCTCGTCCTTTAACTCTGGGTGTCGCAGATTTTGTCTCAGCAATGAGAGAGGTAACCAGGACAGCCATGTCTGACACAGCTGCCTCCCAGTGGGAGTGGCACCGAACCTGCAATTCTCTCTGGGATGGACACACCCTGGAAATGTCCATCAGCTCCCCCATCACCGCAGCCCAATGGGACACAGTCTCTCAAAGACATAGCATGTGGCTTCGAGGGTGAAGACACAGGAGCCCAAACTTTAAGCACAGGAAGCTCAGAACCAGTTTTGTGGCCAAATATAATATTATACAGAACTTTACAACCAGTTGCTTTGGCTTTGATGTTGTCTGACCTCAACAGCTTCTGTTCTGCATTTTGGGGGAGCATCTCTTCTTGCTATTTATAGAAAAACTCACTTTGGGGCTTTAAAGATAAATAAATATTTAAGCACAAATAAACATAAGAAATAGTTCGTGTTCATCTCCAATGATGTCTAGAATATCATAAGCACATTGAGAAAAAGCATTAAGGTAACTTTGAATATTTTTGAAAATCATGATCGGTTTGGAAAACCAGCCACCTGCCAGTCTTTGTCTACACTGGTGGAGCCGGAACACTACTGCACCCCCTTACAGCCCAGCGAGCACCCCAAATGCCCTCCCAGCCTGCAGAGGGAAAAGCAGCCCTCTAACGGTCAGTCTGAAAAGCCAAAGTGTCACACCCACTTCAGGTCCTACCAGGTAAGCCTGGTCAAGCGCTTGCTTCCTGTAGTCCAGCTCCTCCTCCAGGTAGCCCTTCTGCCTGCTGAACAGGTCCTGCAAGACAGGGGGACAGGTCAAGGATGCGGCCAGATCGAGCGCCCAGGGCAGCCCAGGCCTCCAGAGCCCAGCAGTAGAAGGGCCCTGTCTCTGAGCTGGGATGGACACTGGCTGGGGAGCTCAGTAGCCTTCTTGGCCTGTTCCTGCATAGAACCTTGGCAACTCACGACCCGGTCTGTGGGGACCAAGATATCCAGCCTCGCCTGGCCTCCTTCCTCCTGTGTGCCTCGCCCCATGGAGGAACGAGAGGCCCAGAAAGGTGCAGGGCCTCGTCCTCAGTGCCCCAGTGCATTGGTGGCAGGCATGGACTAGAAACCTAGGCCTATGACACCTGTCCACGGCTCTTCCCACCTCACATCTGCTCCCGGGCACTCCCGCCCTCCTTCCCTTCATGGTTACTTGGGTTTGGAGAACTCGAGACCTTCTGGGAAGCCACCTCTGCGCATCCTGGCCAGGTGAAATGGCTCTCCTGTGCACCTTGGCACCCGGTGAGTGACCCTCTGCTACCACTGCTTGGGAACCCAGGTGCCCAGGTGCCCAGGTGAGCCCCTCATGACACTGGCTCTGCATTGGCACCCTCACATTCCCCAGAGGGGGTGCAGAGAAGCCAGGTTCACCCACAAGCCCAGCTCCCATGCGCTCATTGGCCCACAAAGATCCAAGCAGTCCTAGTGTTTCCAGAGCAACCTGGCCCAAACCTCAGCATCACACTGTGTCTCTGATGTCCCAAGCTGTGCCCATGTGGCCACAGGAGCACAGGGCCCCATGGACACAGCAGAGGCTCTGCAAACGGGCTTTCACTGATAACTGTGTGTGACAGAGGACACAAGGGGATGCTAATCTTTTGGGACAGCCGTGAGGCAACAGCAAAGCTTAGAAAGGTGTCCAGAGGAGCAACGTGGAAAAGTACGCCACGCCCCCTCAGGGGAGGACTCCCTGCCTCTCCCTGGCACCTGCCCCAGCCATGGGCCTACATGTCCTACCTTTTCCTTCTCAAGGTCCAGCATCTTCTGGGTCAGGGCCGCCTCAGTCCCCTCTATTTGCTTCAACCACTAGAAAACAGCAGGAACAGGAGGAAACAGCAAGGTGAGCACCAGGCCCCAGGCCTGAGGTTCACAATCCCTACAGGGAGCTTGCATCACCAGGTCACCAGGTCTGCGCGGGCTGGCAGGGTCCTGAGAGTCCAGGGCCTGTGTGTGTGCATGGTGTGGCTGTGTTACAGCCAGGCCTGGCAAAAGGAGGCGGGAGATGTGTGGTGACTGGTTCATGGGTGCATAGGCGTGTGTGTGTGTGTGTGTGTGTGTGTGTGTGTGTGTGTGTGTGTAAGGAGGGATGTGTGACTATGTGGGATTTACAGCTGAGCTATTAGCATGTATGTAGCTAATGTCACCAAATGCATCATATGGGTGACCTCACCTGAGCCTCACAACCTCCCCATCTGGCAGCGGGAGATGAGGAGACTGACCACTGCCCTGCCCAAGGTCACATGGTGGGGATAGGGATTTGGAGCCCAGCCTGCAGGACCCCCAAGCCTCGCCCTCTCCCCTTCAGCAGGGTGTGACAGGAAAGCAGGTGCAGACGGGGAAGGGCTGAGCAGGCACAGGAGGGAGCTGCAGGGTCCTCACAGGAACCACCCAAAGCCGGAGTCCAGTCCCAGTGGACTGACATGCAGAGAGGGTACAGGGTGGCACAGGCACGGGGCATCCAGATGCGACAATGGGTCCCAGTGAGCACCTTTGGCTCTCCTTGCTAAAGCCCAAGTTCTGGCCTGGACACCCCACCCCTCACCCAACAAGGTGCTCCCCATAGCTGCCCTGGGCTTCCTGCTGCTTCCTCCTCTGACCACAGTCCTTCACAGCCACCCTGCCCTCTCCTGCCTCAGCTTCCTGCTCTGACCTCCTTCCTCCGCCCTCTGCTTGCTCCAGCCCACCCCTGACCCTAGCACCTGCTGCCCCCTGCAGTCTCGCCTCTGCTCCTCCCTTTGTAAGACCCAGGGGAGTATTCCCTCAGCTCCTCATTTCTGTTTCTCAGGCCACCCCCTGGCTCCAACCTCTGCCCAGCAACCAAACCCCAAATCCGTCCTGCCTCCTGCCAGCCTGGGGTCCCCAAACCCTCATCTGCCTGATAGGCTGCAGCTCCTCAAACAGCTGGCCTCCCTCTGCTCAGGGCCTTTGCACTTGCCACTCCCGCTGTCTGGAACAACCCCACCCAGCCAGACCCTGATGGAGCCAGCATCTGCCCAAGCTCTGGCCTGGTGCTTCTGATCCTGTGTTAGTGTCACCTCCTCCAGGATACCCACCCTGCTACCTAAGCCCCAGGTCACCGTGTGACTCCTTGTCACCACACTCAGAGGCTGTGATTAGCTCCCCACTGCAGCCCCAGGCGGGGACACATCTGACTCCTGGTGCCTCTCCCTGCCCAGCCTGGGGCCTGGCACATGGCAGGTATCTAATAGACGCTGGCATTGGGGGCTTGGTGTGGGAAGGGCAACTGCACCCAGGGAGGGAGAGGTGGCAGAGCCATGGCCACAGAGGGTCCCCAACAGTGTCGAGGGCAGCAGGCTGAGCCCAGCAGCAGAAGCAGGGCAGAGGGTGTGTGGCCCCTTGCAAGAACAAATTAAGCTTCTCTCTCCTGCTATCCCAAGGCGAACAGTCACAAAAGGAGCTTGTACCAGGAGTTTCCCAGTCTGACTCTGCCACCAGTGGCTCTTGGGACAGCTTCTGTGGAGCCTCGGGGGATGGCTGGCAAGCATAAATACTCATGCGTATGAGGAACCGTGACGGGACAGAGAGCTGGCCCAGGTCTGGGCTCTAGAGGCTGGGATCTGTCCCAGCCTATCAGGTAATCTCAGTGCCCTCACTCCCGGAGACCCCGGATGCCTGTGGGCCACTCAGTGTGACCTTGCTTAGCAGGGAGACAGGAGTCTGCCCGCGGGCATGCAGCTGTAAAGCTGGGTCTCTGCGCCACACTCCCGGGGCTCCCCAAGGGCTGGCCTGGATCCACCACAGCTGGGGACTGGTCTCTCCTCCCTTTGGGAACGATGCCCCAACCTGGAGAAACTATCAGAAAGCAGACCTGTGGCCCTGGCCTCAGCCTCATCCTCCAGTCCACTATGACAGCAAGAGCTGGATGGGTCAGTTCCCTCTTTCTACACACCACACCGTGCCTCCTTCCTGATGGGCTCAGCTGGGTGTGAAAAGCAGCAGCCTGGCCCCGGCTGCACACCTCCATGGGTCTCATGCTAAGTCCGTGTCACAGTTGCTGGCCTCCAGGCAGCTAAACAGGAAGGCGTCCAGTTGGGCCTGGACAGGATGGCTAGCCTGCTCCCTAGCCCTGAGTGGGCAGCTGTGGGTGAGGTAGGCACCGCCCAGGAGATGCCACTGCGGGAGGATCGGCCTGGGACACTCCAGACCAGTTGTGTAATGCTTCAGTGAGGCTCTGAGGCTCGGGCCTGCTGCCTCTGCCAGGACCCTGCACAGCTGGCCTCTGCATGCCTGGACACTGCACTGACCAGCCGCTCGTAAGATGAGACGCACAGTGTGGGAGTCCACCCAGGAGGAGCCCACTGTGGCAGCGACACTGCAGGGACCCGTTTCCTCTGCCTCCCTCTGCAATACCCATCAGTTCTAGGGGGACCAGCTTGCTCCTGCTGTCCTTCCACTGTCCCTGTTTTAGCACTGGAGTTCCCACATCCCAGGACCCCTCTGTCCCAGGCAAAACACACTGCTTATCATAGAGCCATGCTACTGGCACGTCAGGGTGCTGCTAATCCAGGGCCCACCCTGCCCAGCAGCCCCCTTTTCTTCTCAAGTCTTCTCTCCAGGCAGGGAGGTGATACATAGCATCTCCCAGACCAATGTCACCTTCACTCACTAACTAGCAGCATGGCCCAGTCTCAGGAACCCAATCTGAGAGAACACTGCAGTCCTATCCCTGAGGACAGTTCCAGAAGGGAACTGGACTCCTCTGGGGGCACCATAAATGTCAGTCATGGGGCTCCCCTTCCTCCCATTCTCAGGCCTGTGCAGAGGCTAAGGTCAGCGCATTACTCTTGGGCATTCAGGGCGCTAAGCATGGTGCCAGGCTGGCCAGTGGGGTCCAGTAGATGGGCAATAGCTAGCAGAGGGCTGGTGGAAGCGGGCAGGGTACAAGCCAGGAGGTGGCATGGGTGGCAAGGGTCAAAGCAGACAGGGGCCAGATGCCAGACAGGTGCCTCTCCCCCAGCTGCAGGAAGAGGAGCTAACCTGGAGTAGACAGGAGGTGAGGCTCCGGGGATGCAGGTGCATGGCCAGGGGCAGACGGGAGGGCTTAGGGGTACACCCAGCACCCAGCAGAGGCCAGTAAAGTCCTGAGCCTCCTTGCCTGTAGCCCTGGCCCTCCAGAAACTAGGAGCTGGAACAATGGGAACTCCAACACCCACCACCCCCAGCCCACCGCCAACCAGTCACACAGAGTCCTGGGCAGTTTCCTGCTGTCAAGCAGCCCACAAGCACTGATCTGGGGATCCTGCATTCTGTGGCCACACAGCTGACCTGCAGCAGTGACAAGGACCCAGCTGGGAAGGCCTCTTTGACGCTGAGACAGGAGCTTGCAGACCCGGTGTCTCTTGTGTCCCCCAGGGCAGTGGGCCACACTCAGTTCCTGGAGGCTCTCTTTCAGCAAAGCCTCAATGCATGGTGACTAAACAGCCATGCTCGTGTCACCAGCACTCACAAAACACAGCATGGAGCCCTGCTCCAGGGCAGACCCCGCTTGGCTCTGCAGATGGCAAAGGTGTGTCCCGCAAGTGCCCTGTGCTACCCCATGGGACCTGCCCTGCACAGCCCATGTGGGCCACCATGGACCCTCTGTCCCCTGGGGAAGGTTAGGGGATCAGAACAGCAGCAAGGGCTCAGCTCCACTCCAGGCTCCCCCTTTCCAACCATGTGACCTGGGGCCAGGCCTTAGTCTGGCCATAGTCTGGCAAGGACATTTAGATCCTTTGTTCAGCTCCATTGGGAGAGGCTGGACAGATGCCCAGGAAGTAAACCTGTACTCTGAGTGTCCTCCCCAAGACACTGGAGGGGCTCTTGATTAAGATCATTAAGACCTCAACCTTTCAAAAGTAGCACTGTAAAGTTTAAATAAATGTTTTGAAAGGAAAAGGTATGTTGGAAGGACCACAAAACCACTGCGTATATCTAACATATCCTACACGGTTCATAAGACAAACAAACGAGGAAGGTGTTTTTACAAAACAGGTCAATGTTCGCATCTTTAATATGTAAAGCACACACAAACACACACACACACACAAAAATAATTACACAAATACCAGTGTGTTGGATGGATGGATGGATGGATGGATGGATGGATGAATGTATGGATAGACGGGGTGCATGAATAAATGGACCAGCCCCATAGGAAATCCTCAAAAGAAATGCAATTTCAACCACACAGAAGAATAAAACAGATACTATACATCAAAAACATTCAGTGACACTCAAATAAGTGAAAATGAAAATGGTGACATCCCACATTTCTCTCCCTGTCACAGGACCAAGCTTGCTGAGTGGGGAGACGCTGTGTGGAGGATGAGGTCAGACATGTGGCGGCCAATGCTGCAGGTGGGAAGGGAACCAGAACCACTATCCAGGACACCGATGCCACCACCAACGCCCTTGGGATGTTCTCACCATCTGGCCCAGGGCTTCCACTTCCATACCCTCTCCTGGGGCGGAGTGGGGCTTCTCCAATGAGACAGAAGCTTATGTGCAAAGATGCTCACGAGTGCATGAGCCATAAATAGGAAAAGAGTGGGTTCGCCCCTAGACACCTCGCTGGCGAGGCTGACTAGGGAGCTGGTGTATAACCCCAGGATCACTGATGCAGAGCCACTGGGATGGTGTTGGGGAACCGTTCTACATGGCTGATAGGACAGGATAAACAGTCGGCTATATGATTTTAGTATCTTTCTTTTTAGTTCCAAATAGAAAATAAAAAGAGCACTGATGTCCAAGGAAGCTCATCTGCAGAATAATTGTATGTCTCATTCAAGTCACTAAAAACAATGGTCATGAAACTGTTTCCAACTACAGGCACATGATCTCACTATGCCGGCTTGCAGTTACTGCCAGTGCCCGGGCCGGACAGATCAAGAATTTTAGTTTCTCCTGGCCATACTTAACACTTGCTCAGAATAAATTATTATGTTCAAAAAAAAAAAAAACCATGGGCTATTCAAGTATGATTTCTACTAAGCAGAGAAAAAAGGGCGTGGGAAAGGCCGGGAAGAAACACACCGTGTGCCAAATCATTGCTGATGAGGTGTGTGTTTCCTCCTGCAGCCCTGCCGCTCCACACCAGCACAGGAAGAGACATGCCTGAGCACATGCAGACGCAGACAGACCCCTCGCATGCGCCCCAATCAAGCATGACACCAATGTACAGTTTCTTGTATGGAGCTGGGGTGCCAGGACGGGCGTGCGCACAGAAATGCGGCCAGGCTCTGACCTTTTCACATAGGGCAAGCACAGTTCCGGCCTGGATTATTGCAACCTGTTCTTCATTTCTCAAATTCTAAAACACAAAAAACGGGCAAGGGCATTTTACACTGGATCCCTGGCCCGCAGCCAGACAGTCAGCATGGGCTCCTCTCTAAACTGCACCCAGAGAATCCACCCGGCTTGCTAAGGGGGAGGGGAGCTAGCTGGTGATTCAAGGCAGATGGCTCCTGCCCCTCTGCTGGGGGACACTTTGTGTAGTGGCACTTTGCAAAACAGAGCCTCATGTAAGCCAATCCTTTAAAAAGACAGAAACCTCACTTTCTGACTTCAGCACCCTCCAGGGACCCCGAATTCCTCTGGGGGACTCGCTCTTAGGCTTCTTGCCCCCTTTGTCACTCACTGGCTCTAAGGACGAGTCACTTGGGAACCCCACTTCTGACCAATGCAGACCCAACCCCCTACTCAGAAACAGAGCCATACAAAAGCCTTACATTGTATTTATCAGGTCTCTTAAATTAGTAAACAATTTAAACAAAACAAAACAAAAAAAATTTAAAAATCACACAGAATACACCCGGGTCAAAACAAGAACACGAAACCAGAAGCTGATTGCTCATAGTTACCCCGTTATCGCCAAGGATATCTAATTTCTTCATAAGGTCAGAAATATTCACATCCTGGAAAAGATTTCCAAGGTTCATTTTTGTGTGAGCCAAAGACCATGAACACCAATTCCTAGACGCCCACAGAGGATGGAGCTTTGCACTTGGCTCCTTGGAGGGAAAAGGTAGAGTTTTACACCGGGAAAGACCCTGGGTGGGTCTGCTAGATGCTGCATCGCCCGCATGACCTAGCGGGGCTCCAGCCCCGGGGCAAACCCTGGGCCTCGCAGCAACCTCAGCCTCCTCCTGCACAGCACTTCCAGTCTGCCAGGCCCCATGCTAAGCTCTTTGCCTCTGTGTGTTATGCAACCGCATGGCTCATCGAGGGGCTGCCATTTGGATTTCAGTGCCCACAGCGGAGGTTCAGAGGGTCTCAGGTCGCAGCTAGGCAGCCAGACTGGAGTTGCCTTTAGATTGCTACTTTCCATAGGGATAAACAGAGGGGACACTGGGTAGCTTTTTCAACAATGAACTGTGACTCTCAATGGGCATCTAATGCTACCCTGGTCTAGGGACACAGTCCCCCTTGACCCCCGAGCCTGGTACTCAGTTGGCTCAGCCAAGGCCCCCCAGGCACGCTACCTTTACTCCTTCCTGGTGACAGAACAGCTGGAGGGCGCTGCTGTTGTTCTCGGGGAAGGTGGTGATTTGGAGGTTAAAGGCTGGCGACCTCCTCTCTCTCTCCTGGGGAAAAGATTTGGTTTAAAGACAGAACTTGATTGGATTATTTACCACTTTGCCATTTTCCCGTTATCAGAAAAAAATAAAAACCAACGCACTCCAGTTGGCAAAGGGTTAACAATCACACAGCATAGGTTAGGCTCAGGAGTCGTGTCTGCGATGCCCAAGTCTTCAGGCAGGTCCAGACAGATGGACCCTTTGAGGCATGTTTCCTTCTTACCTACTCAGCTAGGAAGAAGCAGTTAACAGGGCCTCAGGAGGCTGCCTGAGGCAAGATCAAAGCCCAGGGGATCCCAGGATGACAACTCTGCTAAGAATAACGGGGCTACGTTTCCATGGGGAACAAAAGCCACAGGTGCAGTGTCACTCCATGCCAGGCACGTGGTGACCCCATCGACCTCATGCAACCTAAGGAAGCAGGCAGCACCACTCTCTCTCTGCAAAGAGGCTCAGGGACACTGAGTCCGAGGCCCGATGCGTGGGAGCAGAGGGCCAGCCCAGCTCCTGTCTTCACTTTCTTCCCATAAAGGCTATTGGTGCTGCTCACAGTTTTCCTTGAACCACACTAACAGAAGCAACGATGACGCTCTCCCTCCCCTAGGTTTACTGTCATGTCTCCAGGGTGGGGGTGGGGTGCGGAGGATTTTCCCGGAAGAGGCATTTATGAATCATACACCAGGTGACAAGGCCTTACGAAGGCCCAGAGGAGCTGAGTGGCTTACAAGGGTACAGCACACTGGTGGGACAGAACCCTGGCCTCAGACATGGTTCCTGCTTTACACCTTTGGCACTGGCGGGGTCACAATGGGCCGGCAGGGAAGATTCTTTTGAATCGTACTTGAAATCAATTGTTCTGATTGAATTAAACTATGATTAAAAATAACCTGCTTTGGGTGAGGCGGTGCAATCTGGCTGTTGGCCAATGGGCTCCAATAGTTCAACCACAGGAAGCCACAGAATTTAGAAGGCAGGTCGTGCACACTGCCCTGGCGGGCACAGCAGGAGGGGCTGAAGGAATGAGGAGGGACTCCCGATCCCATGACTTCCAGGAAGCCCCAGGCCAGCCAACCTCGGGGTCCAAGTCTTAAGAGTCAGTAACAACCCTAGGCAGCCTTCCACCAGGGCAGTGGATTTAAATGGGGTCTCCGGAGGAAAGACGAGCTGAGAAGCTCCTATCTTACAAGAACAAAAGTCAGAATCTGGCTTCCGATGGTTCTGAAGGCCAGCAGAGACATTTAAAGAAAATTCTAGTAAACTGACCAACATCTCCCGACATTGGCTTGCATGAGTTCCCTCTCAGTGACAGAGGAATGAACCGGGACCTCCTGCTTCGGGTCAAAAAAGTGGTGCTGGGCACCTCCTCTGCCCTGTCCCTGGCAACGGGACAAGGTTTGGGCAGTGAGTTGTAACTCAGAAGTTCTGCACCCAAGCAGCAGGGAAAACGAAATCAGAATAGCCACAGACACTGTGAAGGCGCTCACTGGGACGGACAGGGTCACACATGCAAGGGGTCAGCGGAGAGCAGCAGCGCTGCCGGGGCTGGGAGCCCGGCACAGACGCAGGCCAAGTGGGAGATGCGATGACTTTCACATGGAAACACAGCGGGTTATGAGGCACCACGAGCGCAGGCAATGCAGTAACACACCCGAGGGGATGCTGCGGGGAGCAGTGAAACCGTCAATATCCGTAATCCTCTGCCCCTGCTCCCGTGCTCCTGGAGGGACAGCGTTCAGTCCCTCCTGCCCAGGAGTTCAAAGTTGAGGTCCGAATCCCAAAGGCTCATTTCTTTAACCTAAATCGCTGCACTGCCCTGGCCTGCATTTACTGGGTCAAAGTTTGAGCAAAATAACTAAGTTTTCTTAACTGCCTGTGCAAATACACCCTTCTCCCCTGCCTCTACTTACCTTGTGTGACCCTTGGCAAAAGGCAAGGGACCCAACTAGCACTAAACACACTAAAGGGTCAAGAACTGGCTGGGTCGGACCCTTGACTTCAAAAGGTGAGAACTGCTACATGCAAGGTACTAGAAAAGGTGTGTTACCAACTGGACAGTGCTTCGGCCCGGGTTTGCATACCACAGACCCGGTGACTACGCATGCAGGGAAGAACTAGTTATGGAAATGAAACACAAATAAAAAAGGCAAAATATTGCAAAAACAAATTATTTTATTAAGTGCAAAACAAGCCGTAGGCAATAAATATATTAGCTCTGGTACAGGTCCATAGACTTCGGCGAGCATCCTCCCAAACACGTTAAGGCAGTGAAATTATCCCGAACATACAGATTAAAAAAAAGAAAAGGAGGAGGAAGAAAGGAGAAAAACGATAACATGTCCCCTCACACATGCTTGGAACAGAGGGAGCTTCACACGAATTTCAATTTGGGCTCAAAGAGAATGTCTGCTCCGTTTGAGAGCTTACAACAGAGAGAGTCTCTTACTTCAAGCTCTAGCACTCTGAATTCTAACAGCTCGTTCTGATCCTTCGCGTCTTGCATTTCGCTCTTCAGCTGGTTCTCCTCCAGCTCCAGCCTGTAAATCTAGAGCAGAGACACCTGGGCGTTAATGGTGGGACAGCCTCTGTCCTGCACCTGGATCCCGGATCACGGGCCACCTGGGGAGGGGCAGGAGCTAGGGCTTGCAGCAAGGGCTCAGGCAGACACTGTGGGAAGGAGAGGGACACAGGCTGGGCTGGCTTCACCCCATCACGCCAAGGCTGGCCCAGGGAACTGGAAGCTCCTTCTACTTTGCTGAATGAATGGATCAGGGCCATCCAGTGCCTTGCCTGAGGTCACCACAGGGGAGCAGAGTTCGACAAGTTACTACTGTTCCAGTGCCCCTCCAGGGTCCCTGCAGCCCAACCCCAGCCCGGCCCACGTGGGCAGAGCCCGGCAGGCTGTGATGTGAGCCACTCAGTTCCTACAAAGCTTTAATAAGGATAGCACGGCCAGTGTGGGGAGTGAGTGGGTCACAGCTACCCAGCTGCCTGACACACAACTGCTTCTGGCCTTGGTTTCTACCCAGGGAGGGTGACAGCTCTACCGTGGCCCAGCCCAGGGAGGGGTCACCCAGACGGCAGGCAGAGGCTTGGGCACCGGGCATCCTCTGAACCCGCTCTCCACCCCCCTCTTCCTGGTCAGAAGGACCACAGAAGCACCATGGTACATTGAGAAATGGGCTCCGAGCTCAGCAAGCAACATCAAGGGTGTTAAAGGTCTCCTGACGCCCGGGGCTGCCTCAGAGAACCTTGACTGGCTCCGCCCGAGGGCCCAATCAAAGTGAGGCCAAGAACCAGCCACGGCCAAGGTGCACCAGCAGAGCAGCAGGGCGGGAGGGACCAGCACTACACCCATGCAGTCCTGGGATCCAGGGACACTCCACAGTGAGGCCCAACCCAGGATGTGGCCCCCTCTTGAGGATCGCCCACAGGAGATGAATCCCCAAATACACAAACAAATGGGGTGAGGGGTGCCAGGACCCAGGGAGTAGGGACATGCAGGGACCCAAATGGGCAGAGCTGAAACATGCTAGTCCTATAACATGACTTATTTAAAAGTGACTGGCCAGGTGTGGTGGTGCATGCCTGTAATTCTACCACTGAAGAGGCTGAGGCAGGAGGGTCGCTGAGTCCAAGGCCAGCCTGGACTACATATCGAGATTCCGTCTCAAAAAAACAATGCTAATAATAAAGAACTGAACTGTACACCAACAAGGAAAGAAGCCACTGTTTTTATCCCAACTCATTCCATCCCCCCACCCCGTATGGGCTCCCCTGGACACCTCTGGGAAGGCCACAGCTAGCCTGGGCTACGGTGCCTTGAGGTCCTGCCTTAGGTGTCCCCACCTAACAGGGCCCTGGAACCCCAAAGCAATGACAGAGGCATCCTGCAAGTCCACTGCAGGGGACAGCCAGCCCTCCTGCCTCCTCAGGGAACCCTGGGGACACCTCTCAGCTCTGCAGGCCCAGCCAAGAGGATGGAGGCAGGGCTGGGCCCCTCTCCTCCTGTGACAGCCCTGGGCCCACTGCCTGGACTGGGCCTCGGCTCCACAGTGTGGCATACCTTTTCCAGCAGGTCTTGATTGGTCCTGATGAGCAGCTGCTTCTCCTCCACCCACGTGGAATCCTGTGGGAAAGCACTGAGTGTGTTCACCCTCACAGGAGCAAAGGTGGCCAGAAAAAGCTCAGTGCCCGTGCAAAGGCCATAAGAAGTCTGCAGCTGTGGGACCTCATGCTTGCTCTTGGCCTTGAAGGCAGAAGGCGGGTGTGCGGGACACCACACCCCCTCTCAGCCCCACAGGGCCAGTCTACCCAGTGTCGGGCACACAGATGCTGCTCCAACGGCAGAGTCCCACCCTCAAGGCTGGCTCATGCCTGGCTCCTCAAGAGCAAGGTCCCAACTTGGGATTCGATCCCAGGCCCTGGGAAGGCTCAGGATGGCCTCAGCTGCTTTTGGCTTCCCCGAGCACAGAACCCCATCCACCCTGCCAAGGGTGGTGGGCGCTTACCTTCCCCATGCAATGGGACTCCAAGGCCCTCCCAGCAGCCCCACCCCAACGAGGCATCAGCAAATGCAACGTGAGCAGAGAGCAGCCAGCTCGAAGGCGGATAGCCCATGTTTCCTGCCCTCAGACCACCAGGCAAGGAGGCCAGGCTACATCAGGGAGGAGCTGCCCAGGCCCCAGCTGGCACTGATGACCAGCAGGGAGGGCGAGGCCATTCTAGCCTTCTAGTCCTGAGTCACTCTACACCCGCAGGCAGAGCTCTCAGCCCTACCTGGGAATAGTGGAAGTGGCCTCTGAGCCCTCCGCTCTGCAGTATCCTCTCAGGCTCCTCCTGGAGTCCCCTGCCACCTCTCACTGTCCCCTCTTTTCACATCTGCCTCCCCATTCCCAGCTCCCTCCAGCCCTGGGGCCCAAGCCACCAGCCATTCCCCTCCCCTGAACACTCGTTCCCTGGCACCCGGCAGACAGTAGGCCCTGACACCGAGGCAGGGACAGCTTGGTGCTGAGCTGCAGGTGAAGGGAACCAGCAGATGGCCCTCAGCCTGCGAACACAGGGGTGCCAGCAGGAAATAAATCAACGAAGCCGCCAAGAGGTACCAGCTGTCTGCTGCCATGACAGGGCTTTTCTGACGTGGAGCAGGGCCACCACACAGCCTAGGGCTGGTTCTGCTGCCGGGAAGCTGCCCAGGGTCACCCTGGTCCAGGGATGGGGCAGGGTCCAGGAGTTGAGACTGAACCCAGAGCCAAGATCCTGAGGCGTCTCGAGAGACGCACAGGGCTGAAGTTCCTTCAGTGTGGCCTCTGGGATCATTCTGTTAGTCACAGGACTTGGGAAATGGCAGTTTTCCTCCACGGTCAGGTCATAAAAAGTTTTGGGCATCACTATGCTTTTGAAATTATCTCCTGTTTTTGAGCATTTGCAAGGAAAAAAAGGAAGAAAAACCCCAATTAGACCTTCAACATGCGCTCTGGCTTTCAGACATTTCCTGGCATGCTATTGTCTGGGTTCTGCTCGTTTTTCCCATCATTCCTAAAGCCTCCCATTCGGCTCCACAGAATGGCGTCCCCTTGGCCCTAGGGACACCACCATGGGGACGGGAACATAAAGATTCTCGGCATGTGACCATGCTGCTCACCTGTCCCTTCTCAGCCAGCAGTTTCTCCAAGTCCTCAATTTTGGCCTGGCACCTCAGCAGATCAGCCTGCAGCTGCTCCCGAGTCTGGAACAGCGAGGACCGGGAAGTGAGTGAGTGGGTCACCTGGGGGCAGTCAGAGAACCCCAAGGATGGCCCGTGCCCACACGTGGCCTCCAACGTGGCTCTGAGGTCACCTACAAGCTTCTGACATAAAACTGCAAGGGATCAAAAGGTCACAAGAGCTGCCAGCTCTAACTGGGACTTCAGAAAAGGAAACAGAAGCCTGGAGAGGAAACCCGCTGCTTTCAGGGGATGAGGGAGCCAGAAACCACAGCGTCGGGGGCTGCCCCAGCTGTGGCCAGGTCCACGTTTGTTCATTCAGCAGTCACCGAACTGTCAATCGCTTAGCTGCCTACTTGGGTTTTTGTCACCTGCAGCAAGGACTAAAACCCAAAATGCTTCAAGGACCAGGCAAGTCATGTAAACCTGGGAAGCCGACTGAGCACAAGCAGGACCGCCGCCACCCAGCCAGCGATGCTATGTGGGGAACAGGAGCCAGGGACTGCTGCGGGATCTGCTCTCTCAGGGGAGTCTGGATTTCCCTGCGAAATCTCTGGACTAGGTGCCAGTGCACAGGTAAAGATAAAAAGCAACGCAGCGGAGCCACTCACCAGCTCACCCGCTCTGACTCAGGACAGACTGAGCTTCCCACTGTGTCCTGTCCCTACCAACCTGCTTCTGCTCCCCTGGGGCTTGGCTACCCCAGTGCCCTAGACCGCCATACCGCACCATCCCCCCACTCCCCAGCCCGCTCTGCAGCAGCCACTCCTCCTGCTTCTGCTTCCTATAAGAGGACCCAAACACACCCAGGTCCAGCGCACCCCTCTGGGACCCTCAAACTCCACTGGCGGGCTTCTCACTCCTGTTAGGGACCATGCACAGCCTCAGTTTCTTCATCTGAAGCTGAGACTGATCCCTCCCACCTTGAGGGCAAATGTGGGAGTGAAACAGACACAGGGCAGTGCTGGCCCAGTGTGTGCCTCTGAAGGGACATCAGTTCTCCATCTACGTGACTCCAGGGGGAGAAGGGACGGGGAGGAAGTTTTCAGAAGGCAGAGCACAGCCCAGTGCAGGGACTGGTGGCCGAGACCAAGGGGAGCTGGCTGTCCCCATCACTAATCCTCAGAGAAGCCTGAGGCCCTGAGCCCTGCAGGAGAGGAAGGGGTCTGCAGCCCTTTGGGCTGGCAGAGCCTGCGGCCTCCACCCGAGCTAAGGTCCTGACAGCACCGTCTGTCACCCAGGTGACAGGCGGGCAGCTCCAGGTGCTAGGGCCCCCACTGTCCCGCCAAGGATGAAGACAGTTCCAGGACAGTGCTGGCACAGAGGCTCCTCTGAATGCACGTCAGTCACCCCAGAACCCCTCCCCGTACCAGAGCCAGGGACACAACAGGATTGCACCCCAAGGATGCACAGCACCTGCCTTCTGCCCCAGCCAGCCCTCAGGGCAGGTACTCACCCGGGCCTCTCGCTCGGCATCCAGTGTCCCCCCAACCTGCTCCTGAAGCAGGGCATAGGCCCGCTGCAGAGCCTGGTACTCCCGGGTCAGCTGGCAGAACCTCAGGTCAGCCTCTTCTCTGGTTGTGGTCTTAACGCAACACAGAAGGAAAGTCAATCAACTGGGATTCGACATGGCTTTGCCAGAGTCAATGTGGACAAACTTGCGTCCACGTCACGACGGCCACAACTGCTGCCCACAAGTACTTAGTGAGCCGGTCAGCATCAGGAAGTGTAAGAGGACGCCTTCCCCACCAGCACCCTTCCCGGGAGCCCAAGCAGGGAGAAAGGGGTGGGGACCCTGGAGCCACCGGACTCCGGCATGAGGATTAAACTGTGAACCACGCTGACCCACGCGTCCCGCCTGGGAATTTCTCCTAAGCAGAGAGCCGCACAGGAGAACAGGGAGGCACATTCCACTGGGGCAGCATTCAGTTGTGCAGAACTGGAAACCTCATGAATGGCCAGGGGAGGGAGCCCCAAGATGCAGGAGACACACACATGTGAAGTCTCCATGAGGCAACGTGAAGGGAAGATGCAGAGTCGTGTATTCTGATGCTAAATGAAGCCCATTACATATCTTTGGCTGGAAAGGAAAAGCAAACCAAAAAGCCTGTGTCTGCTGACCCTGCCCAGGGTCACGTAAGAGGATGTCCACACAGGGGTCAGCGTGGGACCACAGCCCTGTCCAGAACCTGGGCAGCAGGCGCAGAGGACCACAGTGTCTCTAGCATGACCAAGTCCCCTCCCTGGACCACGAGGGCTGAGGCCGAGGGGCTACCAGGCAGGACACTGTCTTTCAGCATTCGAGGAGGCGTGCCAAGGGGCCCGCTGGAGTGGTGACATGATTCTCCTTAAGCTTTGACAGGAACGGCAGAGCAAAGAGGAGGCCATCCCTGGGAACAGATGTGACAGTGCCTACAGCACGTGCCAGGGTTTCCTGTGGCCTAATGGACTCAATGGAGAAAGCCAGCCTGGATTTCATTCTAAAAGGCCACCAAGCAGGGGAACTCCAGCTCTGAGTCTACAGAGGCAGCTACCTGGAGTCCTGGGGTGGGGGTGCCTGGAGCTACAGTGCCCATCCCGCAGCTAGCAAGTGGCATGGGGTGGTCCTGGCACAGAGCTTGTGAGAGCCCAGAGGAGTTCCATGAGAGGCCACAGCAGCCACCTGTTCCTGGCATGGCCACTTATACACTGTTAAGCCCAAACGGAAGCTGCCCAGGGGATTAGGAAGGCACACTTCTGAGTGTCGGGGGGCGGTGTGACTTTGGGGGTCTGTGTCTGCTCCCTGGCCCCTCCTCTCTGGCACTGCTCCCCTGCTCCACGGTCACCATGAACTTAGCAGCTTGACTTCTCCACATCAGTCCACTACGATACTCCTGACCACAGAACCCTGAGCCAAGCCTCCCCTCCTGTAAGTGGTGGGTCGGGTATGGTGTCCCACTGACAGGACAGCTGGCTGAGACAGCCACCCTTGCCTTACCAAGGTCCTGGTCTAGGGAAGTCACCAGGTGTGACCACTGGTGTCACCGGAAGACCCAGAAACCACAGGATTTGATGTGGTGCTCCTAGGGGGATTCAGCTGGGGGTGGGGAGGAGAGAGAAGGCAGTGTTCGGTGCCCCCAGGGATGCATCTCAACCTCCCCCAGGGGGCTGTGACCAACTCGGCACGACGGTCAGGAAAGGGGGTGATGGGAACCCCAGGAGACACGGGGCTTCCACAGTGTCTCCCTGATTCTCCCTGCTCGGCAGTGTTCGAGTTTTCTGCGACAGTGATGCTCCATCTTTGTACTCAAAAAGGCGAGGGTGCTCTTCCAGCAGGGCTGTGTGTGTGTGTACACACATGTGTGAGAGTGCATGTGGGCAGATGTGGGGCTGGGGGCAAGGGGTGGGACAGCCACAGACAGCAAGCACACCAGGGCAGCACGGAGGTTGTCCCTGCTGACTGCGGCGCTGGTAGAGGCCCCGGGCCGCCCGCTGCCGGTCGTGTAAGGGTCGCCCATGCCAGAGGTGGGGGGGGGCACCACTTCCTGAGGGCTGCAGGGAGGAACCATGACTGGGGCTGAATTCCCAGAGCAGTGGCCAGATGAGGGACACAGGTGGTCATTCTATACATGCTGCGATCCGCTTACATCGTCCAGATCTTCCTCGGGGGTGGCCGGGGTCCTGTCGGTCCTGTCTGTGTTGTAGGATGTCTCCGACAATGTCTCAGAGTCCACGGACTCCTCATCAAATCCAAAAAATGTCTCCACAACATGCTTCTGTAAGAGGTGACAGGCAGGAAGTCAGGCACAGCCTAAGACTCCGCTGTCACTGTCGCCCTGGGGCAGTGGGCACTGGCTTGGACCTGAGCCATGAGGTTACCCCTTCACCCCAAGTGGCTGGCGGCTTAGTAAGTGCCAGGTGGGAAGGACGGGGCACAGCCCAGGCTCCTCTGCACCCAGCTCCTTCCGGAGCCCCGCCTCTCTGCCCCACACCCACAGAGGAGTCCGGCACTTGGGATGCCAAGCAGGCACACAGCCAGCAGATGTCTGGCTCTGCAGAGGGGAATGTGGGTGCACAGGGACGACCAGGGCTGGGCGAGGCCCTCTGAGAGCCCCCCATGCCACCTGCACCAGGATGCAGGCCCAGGAACGAGTGTGACATGTCCTCCCCTGGACATCACCAGTCACACTGCACTTCAGCCCCTGGGCTGCAGACAGCGCCTGGCAGTCAGCAGACCCAGGCCGCCTGTCTCTTCTCTTTCCAGGAGCCCTGGGAGGACCGTGATCTGCTGTCACCATCAACAGATGCCACTCCTGAGCAAGGGGCAGACCCGCAGGCCATCACAGGCCCATGCGGGCTCTCGACAGCTCCTCCAGGGCCCCAGGGACCTGTGGAGGGCAGGATGCACCCCCACCATGAAATTGAGGGCTCCTCCCAGCTGGGACTATCTGCAGTCACAGCAAAATGACACTGAGGCCACCAGCAACAATGCCACTGGGAAATAACCCCCACTGCACTGCCCTCCTGCTCACTGCCTTCCGGGTTTAATTATGTGGGGCACCTGCCTGCCTTGAACCCCAAACCCAGGTGTCAGTGATGCCAGCAGCATAGGGTCTCGGTGGGCAGTTATAAAGCCCCAGATCTGTTTCGCCGCCACTCCAGCTGTGTCTGTGGAGTCCTCTCAGGCGCTCAGGCACACAGCCCAGCTGGGCACCCCACTCCCCTGTGCCTGTCCCCCAGCCTTCAGCCCAGCACCGACTTCACCCAATCCGACCCCCTGGTGGCACTGCAGCACCCTAGGGTGAAGCCAGTGTCCCCACCAGGTGTGAACGGTCACCAAGGCCCCTCTCCTCCTCAGCCCAGAGCTCACCTGACCCTGACCCTCGCACACACAGCTCTGGGCTCCAGGTTCCTGGATTTTTTTTGGGCAGCGGCCAGGCCAACCTTACTTCTCTTAAACAGCAATGACTGCCTCTGGGGACATCTGTTTGCTTCTGCACCCACCAGACAGAGAGCCCTGCCTGACCCCACCCAAGGGGCCCCCAGAGGCATCCTCAGGTCACTGGCTTCCAAACAACTAGGATGCCACAGGGCCAGGCTGTGACTGCCTCGGCCAGCATCATAGACTGTCCTGGGGACACATGGCTGCTCACTACAGCTACTGGGACCCCAGGGTGCTGCTGGCTAAGTCCTCACCGCCAAGCCCAACGCTGGACATTCGCTGCTGCCGCTGCGCTGCTGCTGGGGTTCTGCAGCAGAGCCACACTCATCAGCAGCCCGAGTCAGACCCCAGAGGAGCCACAGCATGCCCACTGCTCTCTAAGACCCAACCACAGCTCCGGGCCATCCTGAGGGTGAACCCCATACGCATACAGGACAGGCAGTGCCCTGCGCCCCACAATGCCTGGAGAATCCAGCCCCACGGTCCCTGAGATTCCCTTGGCAGTGAGAGGGGAGGCAGAGCCCAGCTCCCAGCCGCAAGGACAGGGCCTGCATGCCTCCGATACGGGCTCCTCCACCTAAGAGAGGGGAGCCTGCTGTGACTGATCTGCTCCTGGTTTCAATGGTACCAAACAAGCCCCTCAGCCTGGCACCAATGAGGATACGGTGCTGTCTCTGAAGACGATGCGGCCTGCTCCATGCTGCTCTGCCCCGGTCTACAGGGAAGAACCCACACCCGCTCCTGAGGGCGCAGGAAGACCACCGGAGGACACTGCTTCTTGAGTGCCTGATACAGAACAGGCTTTGCAAAGACGCAGAGCACCTAAATTTCTGGGTCTCAATTATCCTAACCTCGTGGGCATTTCCTCTGACACTGTAAAGCACGGATGCCCACTGTTTGCTCATTCAGAGCACATCTACTATGTTAAAAGGGAGGCTGAGGCAGGAGGTTTTCAGGTTTAAGCCTGGGCAACTTAGCAACCTAGTGAGACTCTGCCTCAAAATAAGAAACAAAAAACAGGCTGGGGGGTGTAGCTCAGTGCAAAAGGCCCTGGGTTCAACACAGTGATTTATGTGCAGTAATTTATATCCTTACAGCCCAAGTCTTGTTCTCCTTACAAACAAATTGGACTTTAAAATGTAATCTGGGCACAAATGACCGCAAAGCGAGCCCTGACACAGGGCCCCCCAGCCCCCCAGCCCCCCAGCCGCCTACCTTCATGCCTGTAGGTCATCTCCTGGCAGCCCGAGAAGTAGAGGCACACCAGGGCGCAGAGGCAGAGGAAGAAGGAGAAGTAGAGCACGAACAGGACATACGCCATGGGCAGCCGCACAGCTCAGCAGTGAGCCCCAGGCTCCGCACCCACCCCAACCCCTCCTGTGCCCTGCTGGGACCCTCAGGCTACCGGGGCTTGGACCCAGGACACTGGGAAGATGCAACCTTGGCAGAAGGAAGGTTCAGCGGCAGAGCAGGTCCCAGATGCCGGTGACACCACTGAGGCTGGGGAGGCAGCGGTCTCCAGGCAGGCCTGGCGTGTGTACGTCACAGGGGACAGCATCCCTGCCAGCCTGTCCCTGGGGTCTTTCCTCCCAGGCTCAGCCTCTAAGCCCAGAGCCGTTGCCAACACCACGGCACAGGCTTGGGGTCCCTGGACAGCTGCAGGGCCCCAGGGACAGCAGTAGCATTAGCAACAAGGCAAGAGCCCCGGAAAGGAGACGCCTCCTTCCTGGACTCTGGGAGGGGTCCCTGATGACCGCCACCTGCCCCATGAGCCTCATTCATGGGCTCCCTGGCAATCCTTTCTCCAGGACTCATCCACCGTCTGTGCAGCCAGAAATAAGCTGCTGTCTAGGGGAAACGGCAGCTTGGAGTGAGACCCAAGTCCTAGAGTCCTCTGCCCAGTGAGCACCCAGGAAAGTCCTACATTTAGTGAACAGGTTCTGCCAGGCATGAAATCAAAATCCAAGGCCCTGGCACACGGTACCAGAAAAATCAGCCAACTTTTACATAAAAGAGTAAAACGTCTATACTTTCTTGACAGACACCACGGCCAACAATAAGACAACAGTCAGCCAGGCACAGTGGCCTATGCCTATAGTCCTAGGTACTCCAGAGGCTGAGGCAGGAGGACGCAGGTTTGAGGCCAGCCCAGGCAATTTATCAAGACTATGTTTTGGGTGTAGCTCAGTGGAAGAGTGCTTTCCCAGCACGTACAAGGCCAGAGTTCAACGCCCAGGACTACACGCGCGCGCACAAACACACATACACACCTGCTTAGATCCCACCTCTGCCGACCACCAAAAGGGAGAACTGGGCAAGGCAACACTGTTCTTCCTAATCTTGTTGTCTTGGGAGATCCCTAGCAACCGTAACCCTTTCCTGACTTTGTAATCGCGTTCTTGCCCCTGTAACCACAACAGCCTAGCTGAACCTAATTGTGCCAACAAGCCTTGTGGTCACTACTTGCTCGTGTAACTGATGGTCAGAATCTAGCCCTGTAACTGATGATCTCACGCTGCCAGCTGATCGGAAGCACCGCCAGGCTGCCTGGTCCCCTGTGCCACCCCTGCGGATGCCTTCTCTAATGCTGGCTCACAGACCCTGGGCTGCCTGGCTGTTGGAGGTTATTCTGCCAGGACCAGTGTGTAAACTAAAGCTGTTCACTGCCTCCTGACGCCCTCGGGTGTTGTTCCTTTCCTGGACTCAGCTCTGCATCAATACCACCAGAGCCCACTGTGTCCAGCTTCAGGCCCTGGCCAGCTCGGAGGAGGCAGGGTGTCTGCAGCACCCTCTGCTTCTCCTGGCACTGAAGCCAGACTGTGCCAGGCTCCAGCCTGCTCCTGGGCAGAGGTGAATGGGGCCCCCATCTGGCTCCCTACCCCCTTACTCGCTCATCTGCCCACTGCATCCACTCAGCTTGCCCCGGTGCCGAGCCCCGCAGGCAGTGGGTGCAGACATGGACGTGGTGCTGCTATCCAGCTCATCATCTGGCTGGAAGTGAGCCGGTCCTGAAGGAGCAGGGCGCGCACAGCCTCCTGTATGTGCAAGGGACCCACAAAGTGCAGGGTACCACACCTGCAGGAGGGGAGGGGGCAGCCTCAACAGCCCCGGAGGACTGACATGCAAGCCCAGGGCACAGACGACCCAAGGGCCACTCCCGCAGGCCCGGCACAAGGCTGCACTTAGCAGGAACAAGGCAGGGAAATGGCTACACTGAACCTTGGGAAAGAGGATCAGGAAGAGGCTGGAGGCCCAGGATGCCGGGAGCTGCCTCAGGACGGTTCAGGGCAGACGCCCAGGTGGGCGTCTCTCACTGAGATGGCTTCCCCCAAAGTGGCATCCTGTTCACATGCATTTCTCAGGGACAGCCGTGCTCTCATCCCCCTGGGGCTCTCTGGGGACACCTACACTGTGCTGGGCAGTGAATGGGCAGGGAGGTAGGAAAGGCAGCCTGCCCCCACCCTGGGTACCCACAGATGTGCACCCCCTGTCAGATTCTCTGCCCGTCAATATGCTCAGAAGTCAGGAAACGGGGACAAAGAGGCTTTTCATCCCAGGGCCCAGGTATCCGTCAGCTGAACTGCTTGGGACTCAAATTTCAGAGTTTCCCAGATTTTAGAATACATGTATACATTTTACCAATTTTGTGCCTGTAACCTAGAAATCCCAAAATCCCAAACCCGAAACTTTCTGAGCATTCTGTCAGTGTTCAAAGACTTTTGAATTTCTTTTTTTTTTTTTTTTTTTTTTTGTCTTTTTGAGACGTCTCACTATGCAGTTCAGGCTGGCCTTAAGCCCACTTTGTAGCCCAGGCTGATCTCGAACTCACAAAGATCCTCCTGCCTCAGCCTCCCAAGTGCTGGGATTACAGGCGTGAGCCACCACACCCGGCTTATTCTTTTTTTTTTTTTTTTTTTTTTGGTACCAGGGATTGAACTCACAACCTTGCGCTTGCCAGGCGACTTTTGGATTTCAAATTCTGGGCCCTTGGGTTAGGGATTCGCTTCCTGTGTAAGTTTGAAAAATAAAGTCATAGCTCAACAATAGGTTTCCTGAAAACCCCACCCAGAAGACTCATGGGGTGAATAATGCCAAGCAAATCTCGTCAAGGGGACAAGCTAGCAGACGCCTTTAGATATTAATACCTGTCCCACGGAGAAAATAAACCTGATACAACAGACAGGAGCACAAAACGATGCGATGCTCCCGGGAAGGCAGCAGGGGGCGCACGAGACCCAGTCAAAGCCTTTCACCGCGGCTCCACTCCCCAGCCGCGGGGAACTCCTGCGGACACAGCTCTCTGCACAAAGAAGCTTTGCTCTGGTGACACTGATACAAGCAGGAAGTCCAGCAACTGGGGAAAGGGGAACTAAGTAACAGCACTGGCACCGCTGCTGAATGAAATGCTCGGCAGTCAGGGAATAAAATGGAACTAGCCCAGAAGGCAGGGGCACATTTTTTGCATTATTCATAACCCCAACCAGCTAGAGGCCACACCCCCACGAACCGAGGGAGGCGGGGAAGAGCATGGCCACTCTACAGGTCACACACCGGTACAGGCTTCCAGGTGTGATAGCCGCACACGCCGGGTAAGTGCTCGCACATAACAGCCGAGGCGGGTTCTGCGGTCACAACTGGGGGTACGCATTCAGAGGTCAGGTCACTTTTATTTCCCAGGTCTTCTGAAAACTGGAGCTATCATTTCCGTAAGAAACATGCATGTTGGATTTGGGATTTAGCTCAGTGGCACAAGCGCCTGCCTAGCAAGCTCGAGCTGGTGAGTTTGATCCCCAGTCCCACAAAAGAAAGGAAAAGAAAAATGTATGTTGGATCAAAAACAAGCTTTCCCCAAACTACTCCCCCTCCAGAGTTTCTAAGATCAGGCCGCAGAGTTACACCTTGCTCCACCGGGCCCGGTGGTGAACGAACGCTTGGGCCCTCGTCATAGACTGGAACTTGGACCTTGGCCCTGCCCACCTACTGTTTCTCTTTGACCTGCTTCTGTATTTATCTGCAAGGTTTCTCTTGAACTGTAAAATGGGGAAATTAACACCAATCTCACGGGGTGGCTGTGGGGATTAGATTAGACTAGACACCACTCACCTGTGTGTCCAGGACTCAGCTAACGAATCAATGCACCCAGACCCCTCTTAGCAGCACAGACCCCAGGATGTGCGCCCTGCAGGCCACATCTGGCTCCCAGATTCATCTGATTTGCCCCACAAACGCGGAATTTGGCCTCTAGTTTTATAGGTGTCTCACACCACGTAAGGTGCCGCAGACTGAGCTGTGTCCCCCAAAGAAGGTATGAAGATGTCCTCAGCCTCGCGTGGCAGGATGTGACCTTGTTTGGAAACAGGGTCCCTGCAGATGTAATTACCGAATTAACAGGTCACCCCTGAGGAGGGTGGTGGTTCCTAGCCCAATCTGCCTAGTGACCATGTGAAGGTGGTCATGTGAAGACGGAGACCCACGGGGGAAGCCACGTGAGGACAGAGGCAGAGATCAGAGTGACGCAGACCCAAGGCAAGAGAGGTCAGAATCGCTAAGAAGAGGCGACAGAGTCCCCGAAGGTGGGGAGCACGGGTGTGCCAAAACTCTAGACCTCTGACTTCCAGCCTCTGTAACACAAAATGACACACTGCTGCTGCGCCAAGTGACCCCTTCGTGGCACTCTGGAAGACAGCCCAGGAAACAAGACTGAGGACTGATACCTGTGGGATGTCTGACACTGCCTGGTCCACCTTCTTTTGCTTTTGCAGTCCCAGAGATTGAACCCAAGGCCTGTGTAGTGAGCTATGACTCAATCCTTTTCAATTCAATTTAATTTTTTTGAAACAAGGTTTCACTAAATTGCTGCATTATCCAGGCTGGGATCATACTTGTGATCCTCCTGCCTCAGCCTCCCAGAGTGCCTGACCTGATCCTGTTTCTTATACCAACCAGCGTGCTGGGCCAGTCAGACACAGTCCCCTCTGCTCCCTACTGTCGCCCTAGGCCAAGCCACATGGCTTTGGCCATTCCCACCACCCCTGCGCTGTTCTGCCTAAGGAGGGCTCTGCTGTAACTCCGTCCCTAAAAGAGGGTGAAACAGGCCCCGTTCCACAGAAGGCAGGGGTCCGAGTCTCTCGGACATGGAGAGCAGGTTTCTAGGGTTAGTGAGAAGCTTGCCCCTCTTTCCAAGTCACTCCCGTCTCTGCAACGTGGGCAGCTGGATATCTGGGCGTCACAAGCCAGCTCTCTGCTCTGCCCACCATGACCTGCAGGTGCTGTCACCTTGGGGACAGAACCATGTTTTACAGGAGCACAGCACACTGCTGCATTATTCCAAGAAAAACACAAACCCAAGTTTTCAGCACAGGATGTTAGATGGTACAGGCCGAGCCTGCGTGTCCTTTAAATCCCTCAAAAGCTCTGAGAATTTGTTTTTCATTTTGAATGACTACACCCAGAGGCCTAAGTACAGAATTCCATCAGTAAGTCCTCCACGAATAAATTACCATACACGGGTCACATCACACGGCCATGACTGACGCTGCTTAGGGAGGTAGTAACGCAGGCCCCACCGAGCATGGCTTGCACCTGCCCTCCCAATGCCAGCCGCATAGTCCATGATGTAGCCCCAGGACAGGGCAGGGGACGCCCCGAGCTCACCTTGGGTGGCTTCAGGCTTTTCCCTCGATGCTTCTTGGAGCGCAACAGCCGTTCTCTCTCCTGCAAGGAAACACAGTCTGCTCCTGTCACAGCCAGCAAGCATCGGACCCCCAGAGACCCCAGGGCCACCACGGCTTCCTGTGTGCACCAGCACAGACAGGCAAACAAATGACACCATTGTCATAACTGAGCTGAGGGACTAGCCATGTACACAAGTTCTGCTTGGGAAAGAGACCCAGCACTGCCCAATCCTGGCTTTTTTTCTGGGGTCACTGAGCAGTGGGGATTGCATACTGGCTCCATGGTGCCAGCGGCAGAGTGGGGACATCTACAGCTTTCGCTGATAGAGCTGGGCTCAAACCCCCAGAGCTTCTGTCCACTCAGGGCACAGCTTCGTCTCCTATGCTCGGTTTCCTGCTGTGCCGAATGGGGTCAGAGCCTGCCTGCAGCACTGCTCTGAGGGAGGAATGAGACCGTGGTAGTCGGGCACCCCGTCCGTGGCCCTTGTGGGTAGGAAAGGCCCTGGAGCAGGAGCAGGGGCCAGCAGACACACCGTGCCAAGGAGGCCTGGGAGCTCCAACTCCTGCTGTGGGCTGCGGCACAGCAGGCAGGCGCTACACTCCGTCTTGGGCTCCGCCTTCCTGGTCTGACCACTGTTGTCTTTATGTTCCTGTCCTAGTTCAGGTTTATTATTCCTCGCCCGACTTCATCAGTACTGTAATGGGCCTGCTTTCTCATCCAAAACCACACCAGGTTTGTTTGTAATGAAGCAAAGACAGGTGGCTGCATGCACGGGTGGAACGAAGGGTAGAAGGAAGACGAGAAGGAAAAGAGGGAAGGAAGGAAGGAAGGAAGATAGGAGAGAGCAAGGAGGAAAGGGAGGAAGGGGAGAGGAAAGGAGGAGACGGGGAAAGAGGGAGGAAGCCAGGAGGGAAGGGAGGGAAGAGAAAAAAGGACTGAGGCCGAGGAGCAAGGCCAAGGGAGCCTCGCAATTACAGTGCAAGCCTTTCCCAGAATCCCAGCCTGCCTACGCTTCAGAACCCCCTGCACGTGATGGGAGCCACCGCAGGCCTCTGTGACAGGCAGAGCACGCCGGGCTCCTAAGACCCAGCCACGGCCCCTGCAAGTGCAGCCCAGCCGGGAGAAAAACACCCCAGCCACCGAGGGGGGCCCACTGCACCCCAGGGTCCCGGATCACACACGGCCTTAGCGAGCCCTCCATTTCCGGCCTGAGCACAAGGTTCCGGTGTGCAAGCTCACGCTCAGTCTCCAGCTTCTAAACTAAAAGCTAACCCGAAAGGAAGGAGAATTACAAGGCCTTTCAGGGCCAGGTTGTGCCCACTCCACAGAGACGCAATCAACAAAAGAACACTGCTGCTTAGGCCTGGCAAGGCAGAAACGCGTCACCATGGAAACGGTTCCCAGGCAGCAGCAGTGCAATTTAAAGCAGTGAGGCTGCTTTCTGATGGAATTAGGGGGACAGTGCATGTCTCTGTGAGGCTCCTAACAAGGCGATGCCTCATCCAAGTCCCAGGTCCCTGACGCCCACGCCCGATGCCTCGCATCACCTGGTGCCACCCGTGCTGAGGGCGACATACCAGCGAGAGGTCTTCGATGACGTGCTGCTGCTCCAGCACCTGGAGTCTCAGGAACTCAATCTCCTGCTCGTCCCTCGTCAGGCTGAGGTCGGTCAGGGATGTGTGGCGCTTCAGAGAGGCCTGGGCCGACAGCTTCTCTTTCTGCAGCCAAAGGGAGAGATCACACGTCCAAGAGAGGCAGGGACAGCCCTGGACGGGCTTGAGGGCACAGGGAGCGAATGACGCGTCATGGCAGCCACCAGGCCACCAGGCTGGGGCTGCAGCCAAACTCAAACCTGCAAAGGATGCTCTCTGTTTGGAGCTCCGAAAGGTGGCAGGAAGGTGGGAGGTGAGGTACTCACACAGCAGTGACCACACACTCACACCTGGGTCTGCCGCAGCACGGAGGAACGGCCTTGACTCTCCGAGCCTCAGTCCTCTGGGCTCTGAAATGGGTGGGTGTGCTGCTAGACAGACTAACCTGAGACCACCTTCTAACCTGCTGTGGCCAGAGTCCAGCTGCGCTGCTGGAGGAGGAATGCCCTCCTGCACAGCACACAGGGCAGGAGCTGGGGTGACTTCCCAGCCCTGGGAGCAGCCTTTACTGCCACTCCTCGTGGGGAGGGAGCACGGGGACTGAGCCGGCGCAGCCCCTCACCATCTCCACATTCTCCCGCGTGAGGCTCTTGAGCTTCTCCTCCATCCGCTGGATGCTCTGCAGCAGGTCCTCGTTCTTCTTGTTCATCCGCTTGTTTTTCTCCACGAGCGGCTTCAGCTGCACCTCTGTCTCTCGAGTGCGCTTCAGCTACAGCGGTGACAGACACGGGGTCAGGGGGTTGCTGGGCTCCGCCATCCAGGCGAGGGGATGGGGAGGACCCAGGGGCTCAGGCCACCCCTGGTGAGCGGCTATGCTGTGTCCGCCCATCTACCTTGTCCCCTGCCCAGGCACGACTCCCAGAGGTCACAGGTCACACAGAGCCCCTGGTTCCTCCCGCCTGCCCTGCCACTGTCCCCTGGATAAAGGATGCTGAAGCTCAACACTGGTCAGAACACACTGTGGGCCCAGCCAGCCAGGCTCAGAGCTGGGCATGGGGCTGGCACAGCCATCACCATGCAGGGCCTGGGAGGACGTGACCCTGCGGTACACCAGGTGCCACCAGGGACAACTCCCCCACAGACCCATCTTGGCCATGGAGTCACCGCCTTCAGCCCCTGAAGACTTTGAAGCAGGAGGATTCTGCGGCCAGGATGGCCTTCCAGAACCATGGCTCTGACATGGAGGCCACACCGTCGAGCAGACCCTGAGAAACCATAGTGGCAGGGGAAGGGAAGAGGGCTCAGGCGGGAGCCATCCAACCAAAGAACCCTCTCCTCCTCTTAAGCAGCAGCCCTCGATGGGCTCATGTTTTAGCTGTGTGATCATAGTCAAACTCTTTGTCTCAGTTTCCTCCTTTGCAGAATGGGAGCCATGAGGACTCGCGCCACAGACCTGCAGAGAATTAAATGCACAGCGGCTGTCTCCATGGGCTTCTTTTAATGGACAGAAAACCAGGAAATAACGCCCACAGCACCGTGACAAGCACAGGCACAGTCACTGTGCACCAAGTCCTCGCTGTGAACTCAGACAGCCCTGGCCTGTCCAGCATTCTGTTGCTGGACCCCGCACAGAGACAGGAGAGAAGGATCCCACCCTCGGGAAGGACACCAGGGGAGCTGTTCACTCTGGTTGGGCTGCTGCAGCAGGCTTCAGGAGCAGACCTAACTCAGAGGACCCTACCCTGCGGGCCCCTGGATGACTGCCCCTCAGCAGCCAGTCAAGGCCTCAAAGGCTCCGACTCCCCTACCCGCGGCCTGTGGAAGTCTGATGCTGCCGCAGGCCCACTCTTTCCTCTGCAAGCAACCTCCCCACACCCTCAGCAGGGTCAGCCTTGTGCCACTGGCCCTTGTGTAGGGTCATGAGTCCCGGGCCGAGTTCCAGCACAGCGTGATTTCTCTCGGGGAGCAGGCTGAGCTGGTGCGCCAGCAGTCAGGCATGTCAAAGGCGCTGGCACCGAGCCACCAGCACCAGGCCTTCCTCCAGTGGAGCTGTTGTCACCTAAAGAACTACACTGCCGATTTGCGATTTTTCTAAGTACTGAAGAACACCCAGCTTAGAGCTCCCATCCTGGAAATGGGCCCAGGACCCTCCCCTCAAGATGGCCCTGAAGGAAAGGTGGACAACAGCCACGGTCCAAAGCAGCCTCGGGAGAAACCCACATTTGATCTCTCTCCTACATGCGGCTGAAATCCCAGGTGAGCCGGGAGGGACATGAGCAGGAGGGGGCAGCGCCACCTCAGTGCTAGGGACAGAGTCAGGGTGAAGTGGTCACAAAGAAAGTGACAGAACCAAGAATCGGACCCAGAGGACAGACCTCAGACCCCATCTGGGTCACATACTGTACATAAACACCTGAAGCCCTTGCTAAGGCACAAAGTGCACTGTGGGGCCCATGTCCCACTTCCAGGAATCTGCCCTGCGTAAATCAAGGTTCCAGTGGGCAAAGACAGACAGGTGTCCTCCAGGTGCATGGTGACAGCGGAGACACTGGCACAGCCCCTCATCAGGGGGGAGCAGCTGGGTGGGCACAGTGTGGTCCCGAGACGGACCCCCTGACAGCTGTGGGTGACAGAACTGGGGCAGGAAATGCTGAGGGCAGAGACGCCCACCTTCTAACCAGGAGGCCAAACCAAAAGGCCTCTGGGAGGGAGTCAATCTGTCTCCAGAGGACGCCTCAGTCTCCCTGGAGTCGCACCCGCGGTCTCAGGGTTGGCAGCTCACAGTGCTGGCAAACTCACTGCTCTCTTTTACACACCTGGGAATGGTTACTTCACACAATCTGTGTTTCCTAATCCACCCAGAAAATTACTATGCAGCTCATACTGGGGGGTCTCAAGGGTATTTAAGTGGAAAGTGGGAGCATATTAGACGTACAGTCTGATTAAAACTGTGTAAAATGCGCCTTTAAAACAATAAGGGTAGAGGTGGGTGCAGTGGTGCACCCCTGTAATCCAAGCACTCGGGAGGCTGAGGCAGAAGGACTGCTTTGAATTCGAGGCCACACTGGACTACACAGTCAGTTCAAGTACAGCCTGAACTGCACAGCAAGACCCTATCTCAAAAAAAAAAAAAAAAAGAAAAAGAAATACTAGCAACAAATCAGTTTATTTTGATGCTGTTAAAATTGTAAAGAAGTGCAACTTCTTAATGCTTCTTCTACATTTTAAACTATCCTGAAGGTATACGTCCCTTCATGATAAAATCAGAATGAAGATGCAGTGTGAGGCATCTGTCAGAGAGTCCACACATTGACTGCTGCTACCTAAGAATGGGTCAGCTCTTTACCCAGTGAATTCAAACATACCAGTGAAACTGCTGCTTTTATGGGAGATTTATTTTTATGGTTTGTGTCTAGACGTCCCCCCAAAGCTCATGTGGTCACAGAGTTTTTTCCAGCAGTAGCTGAACCTAGAGCGTGTAACTGATTCACAGTGCAGTACTGGGGTTAAGGGTGGATGAGCACTGATCGGTCTGCTGACTGGAATGGCACCGCCCTGCTCCCCACTGGACACAACAGAAGGGACTGAAAGAGGCCTGTCTGCTCTCTTGCTGCTTTTGCTGTCTTCTGCTGCCACGTGTTGGCCCTGTGCCATGTCACCCTGTCTTGGAGAGAGCCGATGATGGGCTGAAACCTCTACAAACTGTGAGCTAAATAACCTTTCTCCTTTAACCCTGGGGGTTGGGCACTTTGCCTCAGCAAAGAGGAAAGTAACTGTTATTTTTAAAATTAGAAGTATCTGAACTTTTATGCAAAAGAAACTAGAGGTAAGGAAAAAATGAAATTATCTGTATCACTGCACCGCCCAAAAGAACAATTTCCAGCTAATGATGATTTGTCTTTGATCCGTGAAGAGCAGTGGACACCCGCTCCACACTTCCCACAACACCTGCAGCTGCGAAGGGTCAGTCCCTGCAGAAGCAGCAGCTGGAGCTAAGTGTGCGCGCAACTTTAATAAAAAGGAAATGAGAGAGAAAGAAAAGAAATCCAGGAGACCTCTGCAAGAACTTCTGTGTAAGGCTCCTGGCAGTGGGGGCCTCCTCCCCTGCCCACTCTGCCACCCTCTGATTACCAGCTCGTTCCTCTCATCTGCCAACAGGGTATTTCTGTCTTCCAGCTTCCGGATCACTGAATTCAGCTCGGCAATTTTTAGCTGAAATCGCCTCGCATCCCGCTCATCCATATGCTGATCCTGAAAGAAGAATTAAAATACAAATGTACTCTCAAGAAGCCGAAATGGTTCGGAGTGCCCCACAGAGCCTTACAAAATTCCTGTGACGACACAGTAGGTGAGATCCTTGTCAGGACTCAGTGCTGCATGGTGGGGTGACAAGTGCTCCACATCCTTGGGAAGGCCTCGGACCCAAGCACCAGACCTGTGGGGACCTCATGACACAATTCCTTCAGTAGGATGCCCCCTTACTCAGTAGGATGCCCCCCTATTCAGTAGGATGCTCCCCTATTCAGTAGGATGCCCCCCTATTCAGTAGGATGCCCCCCTATTCAGTAGGATGAACCCTATTCAGTAGGATGCCCCCTATTCAGTAGGATGCCCCCTATTCAGTAGGATGCCCCCTATTCAGTAGGATGCCCCCTATTCAGTAGGATGACCACTATTCAGTAGGATGCCCCCCTATTCAGTAGGATGCCCCCCTATTCAGTAGGATGCCCCCCTATTTAGTAGGATGCCCCTCTATTCAGTAGGATGTCCCTCTATTCAGTAGGATCCCCCCTTATTCAGTATGATGCCCCCCATTCATTAGGATGCCCCCTATTCAGTAGGATGCCCCTTATTCAGAGAGTGAATGAGTGAGTTAAGGAATGGGTGTTCAGCTGTTCGGCCCCTGTGAAGGGCCGATCTGCGACTCCACAGCCCTTCCGCTGTCCACCAGTAACTGGCTTAGCACCTCTTGGTCTTACCAGACTCTGCCTCTATTACTCCCTGCCTGCTGGGGTCCCCTCCTGAGCTCTCCCGTGCACCCTGTTGGAGGTGGCCACAGGCCACAGCAGGCAGAGGCAGGCAGTCTACATCACAACATCTCAGTGCCTAGGGCCAGGCCAGGCCCCTGGGGAACATCTGTAAATCCAGGAAGGGACACAGGAGTGAGGAAAGGGTGTACAGATGAGCAGAGGAAGGCAGGCAGGCTGACCAGGACGACAGTGGGGGACGGGGGAAGTGCCAGCCTCACCTGGGTGCCCATGAGCTCCGCCATGTCCCCGATGCCCGGCGGCAGCTCCCTCTTTGGGCTGCTGTGGTGCCGCTCGGCCTCCTTGACCTGGACTAGCTGCTCGTCCAAAGCTTCCTTCTGCAGAAGCAGCCGCTGGGTCTGCCCGGCCTGCACACCTAGCTCCTTCTCCAGGGCCAGAATCACCCGGTCTTTCCCTTTGATCTCATCCATCTGGAAGAGAGGGGAGCAGTCACTGCGGGGCTCTGGTCAAGGAAACCTCTCCATGCTGCAGGCCTTGGGACGGGTCAGTGGAGCTGGCGCACTAGGGACACAGAGCAGCAGAGGGGCCAGAGCCTGGGCCTCCCCTTACTCCCTGGAGAGCAGATGAAAAGGAGCTCTGGGTCCAAGGACCTGCAGTCACGCCAACACCTGCCATAGGAATTCAACATGCATACCCCACTCTCCTCCATGGAACACATGAAATCACTAGGTGGAGCCTCGGCTGCTCACAGGAGCCCCTGGACCACTGTCCGCCTTCCAGTCTTGACCAACACCAACCAGGATCAGCCAGGCCTCTGCTTCCCGCTTGTGAACTTGTTTTCCAGCCTCTTTATAGACACAGTGTCTTACTATGGCTGCCACTGAAGCCTATGGTTAAACAGGCATGGGCTCTCTCTTTCTCCTCAGTTCCTTCCATCCAACTGGGCTCCACACTCCAAAGCCATAGAATCGCCTGGCTGGTGGCCTGCTTGACCTCGGGGAACCGCTCCTCAGGGAATCGCCTGGCTGCGGCCTGCCTGGGAGACGGCCCCTCTGCTGCTTCCTGGAAGCTCTGCAGGTGACCTTTTGGCCGTTAAAGTGAGGCCACAGTGGAGCACACGGGTCCTTGTAAGTGGTCTCCTTACGAGAGCACGCAGAGGACGAGGCCATATAGGGGGAGCCAGAGACTCCCCAGCCACAGTGACAATGAGAGCCAGAGGCAGGAAGGACCCTCTCCAGGGCCTCATGGCCCAGGTCCTCCTCACACTGTGGCTTTGGCATCCAGGCTCCAGAGCTATGAGAGACACACTTCTGCTGTTCCAGCCCTGCCAGTCTAACAGTGCTGTGTCACAGCAGCCACCAGAAATGACGGCAGACACTGAGAGGTGACTGCCCAACACCGGAGTTCATGGCTAAGAATCACAACAGCATCAGCTGGGGCAACTACTCTGTCAGCATGTCACCTACCATAAGTAGGACTTACACCCCACAATTTGTAGATGAGATCTGTAGGTGGATACAAAAAAAAAAAGTCTGTAAAAACACTGCTGCCCAGGTGAGGATGGTGTCAGCAAACTGTCCTATGGGCCAGGAGACACAATGTCTGTGGCACTGTGCTCCCACTGAGCTCCACGGGTCTGGCAACCAAACAGAGACACTGCCTCGATTTGAAGGTATAGCTAAGGCCCCTTGATACACACCTGCCTGGCCAGGTCGCAAAGACTAATGTCTGGAAGCCATGGGGGACCAGAGATACAGTGCCCCCAGGATGCTGTGGGTCCTCCTGCAAGTCCTTGGATGCCCGGTGCGTTAAATGGGAATGTAGACCAGCGCCACTAAGTGAGCATGAGGATGAAGGTGACAGTGGGAACAGGCATCAGTGAATTAGAGAAGGTAACGCAGGTGCAGGAGTGCACTGCACAGGGAAGTGGGGGACACGGCCAGGCCAAGAGGCATCAGCCGTCCTGTCTGTCTTTGCTGCTGTTGGCGCCTGGCAGTCGGATAAACAGCCGTTCCCATTCTTCCCGGACTCCTGTTCCGTAGGTACCAAAGACCGAATAATCAAAAGAACTAGCACTGCAGAGCCTGAACCACACAGGTCCACTTCCTGACCCCTGGCACTGTGAATGTACCCATTGGGAAAAGGTCTCAGCAAATATAATCAGGCTGGGGACTTGGAGATGAGGACACCCTTGTGGGTCAATGTGTCATGACAACAGAATGGACAGAGGAAGAGGTCCATTCCTCTGGGAGACAGAGACTGGGCGAGAACGCACAAGCCAAGGATGCCGGGGCCCCCAATCTGGGAGAGACAGCAAGGGCCTCCCTAGGGGCTGAAGAGAGTAGAGGTAAAGGCACCTTGAGTTAGGGCTTCCCGCCTCCAGAGCCACTAGGAATACACCTCTGTGATCTCAAGTCTCTAAACATGTGCCATTTAAGGCAGCTGCAGGGGGCTAACGCCAGACTCTCCAGGGCCATGTGACACATGAGCATTGTGATCTGCCACTCTTACTTCCCAGTCACACACTCAATCCAAACACAGACAGCCACACACGGCTGTGGCACAGCGCTGGAGAGGAGCCCTGCTCTGGTGGCTCAGAGAGGGGACCTCACCACCGGCCCTGCTCCCATGCAACCAGGCAGTTTGGGCCACCTCCCTGGCAGCTTCTGTCCCTGCACAGCCGAGCTCTCAGGGGGCTGCAGGACCTACCCTGCTGAATGTTAGGAGAGTTCTGGGCCAACAAAGGATCAGCACAACACCCAGGATATTCTAAGCACACATCACCCCATCCTGACCTCTGTTAGCCTCTATCTGCCATAAAGCTCTTCCATTTAAAAAGCAAGCCTCTGGGTAGCAGGACAGAGAAGGCTTTCAACTCCACACTGGAGGGATTCCTGCCAAGAGCTACAAGAAGTTATCAAAAATAAAATAGAATAAAATAAAATAATACTTAAAACTTTTTTTTTTTTTTTTTTTTGGTGCTACTGGGGATCGAACTCACGACCTCACACTTGCCAGACAGGCACTTACGCCGCTGAGCTAAATCCCCAGCCCAAAACTTTTTAAAAAATACATTATCCTAAAAAACATGTTGCCAGTATTTTGAGAGAGACTAACAGCAATGTATCTTTTACTGTAATACACTAAAATAAAAATCAAAATATTCACTGCAGTTTCACATACTGATAGACACATAACTGTCCATCAATCAGTATTCACATACTGATAAATGCTAGCAATTTCCGTCCTATAAAAACCTTACAGTGGGTCCTCATCTACCGTAGTCACTGAACCGGGTACCATGGGACTTCTGGCTTGGTCCAAAGTCAAAATGACCATGAATGGGTTCCGGACATCAAGGCAGCCAGGATAGGGCGACTAGAGATACCCAGGAAAGAGGATTCCAGAGCTGCTGCAGAAAGCGGCAGGAACCGTGGGATGAGCATGCTCAAAGCTAGGAGGGGAAGCTTAAGGTGGATGAGTGCCACTGTGTCTTTCACTGCAGTAACTTAAAAATAAATTTTAAATGTTAATCAGATCTTTAAATCGTATCTTGTGTGACCTGCTGGCCCTGAGGCACCTTCCCTGGAATCAAAGGGACACCCTCTCCCTGCCCCAGGCAGGCTCCCTGGACCCGGCAAGGTGCCTGGTAGCCCTGGTGTTGCTCTTCTCAAGCCACGCCAAGTGGGCCCACCATTCCCCCGGGTCAGGACCCACCAGCATCCAGATGTGTCACTGGTCCTGGCCCCCAAGTGAGCAGGTGCACTGCCTTCCTGGTAGACGCTCCCCTGAAGACAAGGACACTTGCACAGGCAGTGGGGACAGCAACCCAGACACAGAACTCAGGTGGGAGGAGTCCACTGGTTTGAACACTTGCCCACATATGCCTGATTCAACAAACGCAGAGCCGTTATGGGCCTGGGAAACACGGATGAGCAAAACAAACCCTGAACTCTGTCCTCCAAGCCACTAGTCTTTGTGGGGAGGGACAGAGTAAACACAGGAAGTAAAGGAATGCAGTGTGGACTTCAGAGTGATGAGCACTAGGAGAAAACCAGCCACAGCACAGAGAATCAGCACCAGGAGCCAAGCGGGGAGAGCACAGGGTTCACCCACACTCCAGGCCACCATCACCATGTAAAAGTTTCTAGAAAATATTCTCAATTAGTGCAGATGGCACCCAGGGATGCATGGATAATGCAGCACACATTCTGGAGCCGACTTCTTCCAGACTTCTGGCCCCCAGACTCCTGAGGTTCAAGACATCAAAAGCCTGGCCAAGCTGACAGCCAATGCCAGGTGCTCCTGCCATCTGCTGGTTTCTGGCTGGCTCCGGGCTGAGCTCTTGGAGATCTCAGCTCTGCCTCAGGAGCCTGATGGAGAGGAGCCAATGATGCTGAGTTTTCCAAGCTCCTGAACCATTCATTGGTGTACAGGATGTCCTTGTTTTCCTCTCAGCACCCACTTTCCCTTCTGCCACACCCCACTCTCAGCCACGAGGATTAGGAGAGGGTAGAGCTGAAACCACTCCAAGCTCCCAGGGCAGTCAGTCCCTGATTGGCTCATGCCATCCACATGCCCCTCCCCACCACTGAGAGTAATTGGTTTTGGATGGATGGGAGCCAGCATCTCAAAGGGCCAATCGCTAGACCCCTCTTGTTTGTCCTTCAGAGCTAAGAAGGAACCTTGGGTGTGCACAGGGGTGGCAGTTCACCAGCACTGCCTGAGAGCCCACAGCTTCAACACGATGTGACATGAGACAGAGCATGGCCTTCAAATGTGACCTGGATGACATCATTTTTGTCCCTGGTACTATGCCTGAAGCTAAACCTACAGCTTCATGGCTGCAAGAGCCAACAGCCCCTCCAGCTGGCATGAGGGGGAATGTCCACCACTTAGAACCAAAACAATCCACACTGACACTGAGTCTGAAACAGAGCAACAAAGGTGATGAAAGCCATCACCTCTCCTTCCAGGCTTTTGTGAGCTGGTGCCACATTTGTACATCAGGGACCCACTCAAGCAGCCTTCAAAGCAGATGTCATTCACCCCATTTGACATGCAAACTTGAGGCCCACAGACATATGAGCATCCACACGCTAGCTAGTGACAGAACCACGACTAAAACTCAGCCTCTCCCAGCCCTCCACTAACCCAGTATGCACAAGGATCTGGTCACCACTCCCAGGCAGGCCCCCAGGACACACAGCTCAGTGGGAACCGCAGTTTGGCCAGCGGCCAACAGCCCAGGCGTTCCACCATCATCCTTGCCAAGCTGAGGGGACCGAAGATGGAAGCAGAGGCCACCATCCCAACACCCACTATCACCTCCTCCTCGGCACATGTGGAAGGGAGAATGGAGTCCTCCAAGATGTCATTCCCAACAGAAAGTCAGGATTTGGAAAGAGGGTCTTCGCAGCTTAATGAAGATGTACTTAAGGTCATACCAGGTTAGGGTAGGCACCAAACC